CGTTGGGAGGCAGAAGTGAAGGCCTGCGAGCAAGCAAAAAAACTGCAACTGTTAGAAGTAGCACCAGGCCCAGCTATTAGTATCTTACAAGCGAGCATACAAAGGCTCGTCGTTGAGCGCTGGGATGCGAGGTGAAACAGTGCGAGAAGCCAAACAGGCACAGCTTTTAGAGGTACTTCTGGCTGCCCATGGTATTTCCAAACTAACGTAGCACATCAAATTAGCTAGTATCAGAGACAAGAATTTAACATACTAGAATTGGTCATTTGCTCTCTCGATCTTGTTCTCGCTAGACGAGGAAGATACACTGTGTTGGGAACCAGGCAGGTAAGTAGCCAGGGTAAGCACACCTCATGGATCATCCTCAAAAAAAAACTGTACCTGATTGCGACTTGGCGCATGGATTGAGTCTAAACGAGGCTGTAACTTTGGCATACAGATCGAGTCTAAACGAGGCCGTAATCCATAGGTTTGTGAGGGTGTGTCTGGTGGCAAGACTGGGACTTGCACTTTGTGAGGGCACATCTGGTTGCAAGATCAGGGTAAGCACACCCCTCCCAATCAACAAAACAAGCTGCGCACCTCATGGATCGTCCTCCCAAGCAACAAAACTAGCCAAGACTTGCCGTACTTTCCAAAATCAGGGTTGTGTGGTGTGGTGCTGGATCAAGTGGTGGCGCGGCCCGGTAACTGCGCCCAGTTTAAGTCTAGACCAGGCCATTGAAAAAAAATGGGCATACAATGAGACAAGTCACACAAGACCAGTGCAAACTTATACTCACCTACTATGTCACACTGCTGTGCATTTTGTGGCAAGGAGTTCCCTACGAGGGGGGCATCAAGAGAAACATAGCTAACTGGCCTAAATGCAGAAGGGCATGGGAGTTAATGATTGAAGAAAAAGACTTGGAAGACAATGCACCTTCTATGGAGAACCATGATGCTGGCCACTCATTTTCCCCACTTCGCCGCTCACGGTCCAACTCTTTCAACTCTTTCAAGGCTGATGAACATAATCCACCGGCACCAAAAAGTCGGCGTGTGACAGTCGAGGATGTTGCTGATGAAGGTGAGGTAGTGGAAGGTGGTGGGCGCTATTTCAAGCAATGTTCTGATGGTGGATGGGCACTGCAGGAAGGGGAAACTGAATTTGAAAGGTACCAGAAGTACAAGGAAGGCATGGGTGAGGACGAGTGGGCTCCATTTTGTGACGAGTACGTACCCTATTGTGTTTATAGCCTCTGCCTGACTTTAGCTGCCAGGGAAGAGTGGGGTCTCGCCGAGTGGCTTGTAAAAAGCCTTGGACAGACTCGAACCAATGAATTTCTAAAGTTACCAATTGTAAGTTTGGCATCAAGCACCAAAAACATTGTACTGACCAGCGTGATAGACACGAAACCAAATGCAACCTTCATTCCACAACAACCGATCATTCCTCAAGAAGGTTGATGAACTCCTGCATGGAGCCACCTGGAGCTGTAAGAAGATTAGTGTTCAGGGAAATAGAACAGACGAAAAAGGCAAACCGTTGCACGAAGATGTTGAACTGTGGATGCGCAATCCTGTAGAGTGCATCAAAGACTTGATCGGAAATCCTTTGTTCAAGGATCAAATGGTGTACACACCTGCTTGCGCATACATGGACTCTGCAGGACTCCACCGAGTGATAGATGATATGTGGACTGCAGATTGGTGGTGTGACATGCAAGTAAGCACCATACCAAAAAAACATCAAAAATGACAAGCACTGACCTGTGTTGTCCAGAAAAAGGTGCCGGAAGGAGCAACCATCGCGCCAATTATTCTTGCAACAGACAAAACGAGTCTGTCGCAATTCTGAGGCGACAAAATGGCATATCCTGTGTACCTCTCTATTGGAAACATTGCTAAAGAAAAATGGCAGCAAACATCAGCACGAGCGACAGTCCTGATTGGTTACCTACCTTCAGGAAAGCTTGACTGCTTTACACCTGATGAACGCTCCCTTGCCAACCACTGACTATTCCATCATTGCATGTCCCTCCTCCTTCAACCCCTTGTTGCTGCAGGTGAAGACGGTGTTGAAATGGTGTGCACTGATTTGTTGATCCATCGAGTGTATCCGATCCTTGCTGCGTATGTAGTGGACTTTCCAGAGCAGTGTCTGGTTGCATGTTGCAAGGAAAACCGCTGTCCGAAATGTGTAGTTGCGGTGGATGAAAGAGGTGATCCACTGGATTTGCTGATGCGGGATCCTGCAGTGATAAAGGGGATATTAGAGAAGCGAAAGACTGGTCACCATCCTGCTGAATTTGAGGAATTTGGACTATGCACTGTCTATGCTCCGTTTTGGGCTAATCTCCCCCACTCTAACATCTTCCTGGCCTTTACACCCGACCTCCTACACCAACTCCACAAAGGCATCTTCAAGGACCATTTAGTTAAGTGGTGCCTTGATATTGTTGGCGAAGAAGAAATGGACACACGGTTCAAAGTGATGCCTGATTATCCCGGTCTTCGGCATTTCAAGAAGGGAATATCTATGGTAAAGCAGTGGACGGGGACAGAACACAAAGAGATGCAGCGTGTATTTGTTGGGCTACTTGCTGGCGCTGTCTGTTACGACTTGGATGGTATCTGTTGGCGACGCTCAAACAGAGCTTGTGTCGTCAACGGTCGAGGACGTCCTTGGGCTAGCCCAAGGTTAGGGGTCGTACTTGGCGGGTCTTCAGCAAGTACGATTTGACGCCTATGTCCAAATTGGGTAGCTTATGTCACGCAGGTGCGAGACGATAAGCTATATCAGCCTAGGCTTACGACACCCGAAGGTTAATCGTAAGGATCGTCGTTAATTAGAAGGACAGAAGTCCGACTAGTTTAACAGGAGCTTTGCTCGTCGACGGAGTCGATGAGTAAAGATCGAGACTATGGACTTATCCGCGAAGAGCAGATAAGAAGATAGAATATAGACTGCTGGCGAGGCAGAAGGATCACTCTGGTGAGAGTAGGAGGTCAAGAACCAAGTAGATTCAAGTTAAGGAATATGGTACATGGTAGCGAGTTTATATAGAGGACAGGAGGTGTATTAGTGGGTGATAACTCGTACTACCGGGAGAGGCAATCGGTAAAGGGTATAACCATAACAGGAAGGCACGTTCGGTCAAGGTAGAACGTGCTAGATAAGGAAGTGAGTCAAAGATCGAAAATAAGAAGTGAAACGCGCAGGGGCACGATCGTGCAGCTGCGGATCTAAGTATAAGTCGCATGTGCGACTGCGTACCGAGTCAGAGATCAAGAAAGGGAACAGGGCAAAGGGGATGCGTTGTGCATCGTATCATAGGTTACCGTCCGGACGGTAAGGATAAAGGGGACTGTCCACAGGATCAGTCAGGTGGTGGAACAGAGCATGGGTATGCTTCGTCAGCGAAAGGGTCCGGCCAAATGTACTGGCTTTGCTGCAGCGATAGGTAGAGAGCGAAAGGGAATGCGAGGATGACAAGGATGACAAGGGTAAGGTCAGGGTAAGGGTATGACGCGAGGGCTGATACTAGGAGGATTAGGAGAAAAATGGTAGGGGCCCAAGCGTCTAGATGTTCTTGTAACACTGTCCCTAGGTAAGCTTCAATTGTTGCTAAGCACGAGGTTGGTGCTGACATGATTGTTTTGGTTTGCTTACCAGCCAAGTGTTAGTAGTTGCACGAGCAATTCTAGATTTTTCATACTATGCTCAGCTTCGAGTTCACTCAACTGAATCCCTCAATGGCCTGGAAAGCGCTCTGGCGATATTTCACGCCAACAAGGACGTCCTGCAGCAACTCGATATTCGCGAGCATTTTAATATTCCCAAATTACATCAGCTCTCTCACTATGTTCAGTCTATCCTATTGTTTGGTGCTACAGACGGCTTTAACAGTGAACTTGCTGAACGATTGCACATCGACTTTGCCAAAGAAGCATATCGTGCCAGTAACAAGCGTGACTATGAAGAACAAATGGCCTTATGGCTCCAGCGCCAGGAGGCAGTCTTCCTGTGTGGTTCCTACCTCAACTGGCTGTTGGAACAGTCTCAGTCGGCACCAACCAATTTCACTTGTGACCACGGATATGACTCAGACTTGGACTCAGAGATGGAAGGGCCAGACACTGTCCCTGTCAATACACTTCCCATCCTCCCTGAGCAACGAATGGTCCATTTTCTCGCTAAGATGCCTGCATATCCTCAGTGTTCGGTTCAGCACCTCGTCACTGCACATGGTGCGTCCATGTTCCTCCCAGCCCTTAAGTTGTTTCTGCGCAACCACATGCCACACACTATCATTACCCCTGGTCTGCAAGACCGTTTTGACATTTTTCGACAGGTAGTAATCACTGCTCCACCTAATCCACTCATCAGTGAGTCACCGAGGCAGTGGCGTGTTAGAGCCACGCTGTCCTGCATGATGTGGGAATCATGCATGGACATGAATACTAGGTGACCCTCAAAAGATAAAGTCTGCTAGCTTAGTCCTCAGACTAGTCAACCCATACCTTGGTTTCAAACCATGGTCCATATTTCCAGTTTTCCCCAAGTTTCATGATCTGAATACGTTTTGACGGAAAAAGTCTAATGTGAGATGGGAATCACATTTAGACCTAGTTGATGTGAGAAGGGAAATGAAGGTTAAGGTATAGCCTTGCCTTTGGCTTATTCACTTTGGCTAGAGAAAACCATAGAGAAAAGTACAAAGCCAATAAAAAACCTATCCAAAAAAGACCGTGTTTCAATTCCTGCCAACTGTCTTATTTTTGCTACCTACTTTTCTCTAGTGTTTCTTTACTTTACTTTTTCATTAGGATGCTTTGACTCACCTGACACTTCATAAAATTGTACCCATAGGGTATGATGTCATTATGATGTCATAAGATTCCACAGATACTCCTGCAGGTATTCTGTTGAAAGATATTATGTCATCAAGCTCTAGATTATTCTACTCTACAATGACATCATTCATGATGTCATTTCCTTCTAGAATATTCTGCTCCACAATGACTCACTCTGACTCACTCATGGAAGGTTCTGGAATCTTTTGCTCCACAATGATGTCACTCTTGATGTCATTATGATGTCATTACTCCACATTCCAGAATGTTCTGCTCCACAATGATGTCATAGCTCCATCTTTCACTTGTATTTTATTCTTTTATTGGGTTTGACCCAATATTTTGATTGGTCCTCCTTATTTTTTATTGTTTGTGAACCTAGGTTACTTTCCCACACAAAATGTATATAAGGAGAGCCCATTCTCCCCCCAAAAAAATATGATCTCCCATTTGTAGCAATCTGCCTATCAGATATTTCACTTGCAAAGTTAGTCCCTTTGAAGTGAGACAAGTGCAGGGAAAAGAATTCCCTTGAGATTATAAGTTTCTTACCTTAGAAACTTATTTAGTGCTATAGACCAAGCATTCTTGGTCACATATATTGTCTTTGAGACCCCTTTGTCTCATTGCTCTGTGCCCTTTGACTAAGCGATCTTAGTCATCTATCATATTGTTGAGACCACGTCTCACTAGTTGTCCCATAGACCAAGCGATCTTGGTCAAGTTATAGTCCCCTTTGTTCAAGCGATCTTGAACATATATTGTATATTTGAGATCATTTGTCTCACAGTCAGGTGTCCATAGACCAAGCGATCTTGGTCATATTTCGTATATTTGAGACCACATCTCACTAGTTCCAGTATCCAAGTCCAGAGCCTAGAAGGAGATTTCCTAGGCAAATACATTCCAGAAACCAAATTACGTGTCTAGAAGCTTATTCCTAGACAAGAGATTTGAGTTTCAATAAAAAAAAGTAAAGCTCCAGCTAGGTTGATCTTTATAAAAAGATTAGTTTAGCGAGCCTCCCAAGAACTCACACGTTATCTACCACGAAATAGGAAAAGTCGTAGACCGTGTTAATCGAGGACTGGCAAGCAGTCTTATCCAAAGTGTAATTGTGGTGTCATTACATTTACACGACTTTATATAAGACCCTCGGTTATTAAGACAACACCTGAAGTGCTTCCTGGACGTGGACACAAGCCTGGATCTCCCGCTAAGTTTGATATGGCCCTGACAAGCAATGGCGTTCAGCCACGCACTTTAGAAGGTGAGTAACTATTAGTTGAGCTGTCAAAAAATTCATGTTGATATCTTACTAGGTATGCGAGTGGGACAGGTTCACATTATTTTCACTCTGCCATGTCAATTTGGGACCTACTTGCAAGCCTTGGCTTACATTGAGTGGTTCACACCACTCAGGGAGCCGGACCACTCATCTGGCCTGCACCAATTGTCGTGTTCAACTCGTCGGCTGCACCGGAATGCAGCGGTGATACACATCGACGAAATCGCTCGTCCTTGCCATCTTATTCCGAAGATGGGACAAGCTGTTGACCGTAAATGGACTAGCGCAAATGTCTATGAGTCCGCAAGTGATTTTTACTTAAATACCTTTATTGACCTTGATACATTCTGCATGTCCGCTATTGATTAGTTTTGTTGCTACTCAGCTACTATTGACTATAGACTTTAATTTGACTATTGTGCCTCCAAGTGTCTGCTGTAGCCTGCTGTAGTCTGCTGTAGCCCGCTGTAGATCTATATAGTCTGAGTCACGGCTACATCAGGTACATAGAACTATGGTAGCTATGTAGTGCTACATAGCTCTCTCCAGGGCTACCACAAAATTTGTTTTTTCCTGATGATGTTTGGCTCGCACTTCTTGTTGGATGTTCCAGTGGGATATTGTTTGGAGCCATACATTGTTATCTGGGCTGGATGTACTCTTTTGAATTCCAGCATGTTTACCGTTGGGTTAGCCTTATGCTAACATGTGCACCGCTTATTTTGCTCCTTTCTGTAGGGTGTAACATGTGGAAGGGCGACAGTGTCAGTGCACAAGATGGTAGCAAGAAAATTTTGTTTCTTGCTTTTCTTGGAGCATTAAGTGTTGTCCTGTATTTTGTTTTACGGGTTATATTATTCGGCTATACGATACAGAGCTTAAGGCTGTCGCTGCCTCCTGGCATACATGACACAGTAACCTGGACCCAGTATATACCACATTTTTAGTTCATCTCGTGGTCATAATAGAATATGATAACTTGCATGTTCTTCTGCAATAACCATCATAAATCTGAAGTATGATTGCTGCGTAATAGCTCTCCCGATATGGCAAGTGGAGAGATGTTTCGATGCTAAACAGTAACTCATTCTGAACAGTATGCCTAGAGGGCCAGACTTGGGCCAGTTCACCAGAAGGTGAATATTGAGCGCAACTGACCCAAGAACTACTCTGGATTAAATCTCCTTGCATCCGCCACGTTTGAGTGCACCAAACCCCAACCAAACCGCTTACTATTATTTGACCATCTTGTGATACTGCCAATGCCAACTTGAACACTCAATCACTATGCTCTTCCATCTTCTTCAACACAACACCTGTCTCCAAGTCCAAAGATAAAGTATCTGGTCCTTCGAGCCTATAACCATTCATCGCTTATTGGGGAAGACTATGGCTGTCCTTACGGTCTCCTCTTCAAAAGTTTGAATGGGTCTGGTGCTTGGAATGACTCGGAGGTCCGACATTTTACTGGAGATTGATAGTGTTGGGCACGGTTGACACTGGGTCTTTATCTGACAGGTGCATGTATTGTGCGCTTTTATGCTGCTTCACCACCCTAACCTACTTCAGTTCCATAGACACAAAGACAGTTAGCCATCACCGTTCCGGCAAGAATGCTATCTATCAGTCATAACTGCCTTCCTTGATTGCACTGGGTACATGTGTTTGACTTTGTCTCCACAGTTTCCAGAGCATATCCCCTCCCATCCAATGGCGATAGTGCATTTTCTACTTCCCAGCCTTCAAGTTTGACTGAAAGCTATCTATTTGCACAGATTGCCGCATGAATATATTCATTTCAAGCTGTTTCTCCAACACTTCATCATGTAACTTGTCCAAGAGCATAGCTCACTGTAATAACAGCATCTCCTCATCTTGTCAACGATTCCCAAGATCTGCCTATGCACCAGATGCAACCGAATTTTGTTTTCTCCCGTCTCTAATTCGCTCTTCATGAAGGAGTTTCTGTCCATCGAGACCTTTTTTTCCAAATCCTGATTTCAAAGCTGCCAGCATTGCTTCCAGTGCTTTGCTCCTCGCCCATCTTTATTTTTTCAGGCATCCCCAACTTCAGTCAATCTTGTTCGCCTATCACCTTCCCATGCCCATCATTGTTGCAATCCTCCACCATAGTGTTCAAGAATGGTGTGTTATCAATCACGGACCCAGTCCTCGACCCTTCTGAGACATCAAGTGAATGTATAACATCTGATGGATCTTTCACGGTACAAGAGCTTTCAAGTCCAAGGTCTCACCTTCGACTTGCTGTAGACTAGTATAAAGAGTCTGCACATCATGTTCATGATGTGTTTTGACTCTTTATGCCCATGATCTCTGAGGTCCAAAGGACATCAATGACAAAATCAATTATTTGCACTGATGATTGTATTTTCGCAGTGCTTGCTAGTAGCACCTCCTCGTCACATTTCACCTATGCTGGACCTCTTGCTTGTGTGCGTGGATTATACCAGGCTCACTAACAGCGCAGAATAGATTTCAGCCAGAATACCTGTCTCTTTTTCTGCACATAGTTTCCAACAGAGTGAACGTTTCAGGTAGATCATAGTTGTGGTGCTATGAAAAGTGTTACACATGGTAGAGTCGAGATTTTGTAGAATAGACTTATTTCAGACAGATAGAACAGTCCGAACGTAAATATATTTGGGGGTGGAAATGATCAACTGTCCTAACAGTAAAATAAAGGAGTCCTTATATACTGTAGGTACGGAAACAATAGGAAATTGAGTGAGTAAATGTAAGTATGACACCTTATAAGAATGAAGGCTTTTTAGGAACACTACAATAGTACATGGCTGGGTGTTTATTAGGGGTGTCGCGGAGGCAGGTGAATTCATTTTTCCTTCGCAACATCTTCCTAACGATTGAATCCATAGCCTACGTTTTACTTGTCGAAGATGTTTCTTATATTCTGATCTGATATCCATCATTGTGGTAGTGGGTGACTTCCCATAGGCTAAATAATGCAGAATATCTTATAACAGACTTTGAAAATCATTTGCAAAAGATAATCTGTATAAAATACTAAACCGTAACACATTTGGAATAAAAGAATGTGTATGTCCGAATTTTTTCTTCATCACAACTAGTATGCTCTGGTGAACACATGGAAGAGATGGCATTGCTCAATGATGAAGAAGATGCGAGAATCACCTTGTTATCCTCGTGCTTTTATATGTCTCCCAAATTGCTGCCATCAGATGTGCAGGCGATTCTCGAAGTTCTAAGTCATTGATAGCAAAAAAAACCTGTGATGGTTGCATTAATATGTTAGCACACACATGTACATTGAGAAGTAAGATACTTAACTGAAGCCTAAAAGATGGATGGTGGCTGTTACTGGACAGATACAGGCAGATTGGAGTCGGCATTGCTCAACTCCTGGGCTGGCCGGTCGCAGTGATACATATTGTGCAGTCCTGCTGTTGCAAATCTTGAAACTTCAGTATTTTTTCACTGAGGAGCATAGGTATTGGACCGCACTTAAAAAACTGTATAGTCGAAGACATTATGATGAGGCAACAGCTGTCAAAGCTAAAGACGAGTGAGGCGAGGAGTCCTAAGTGGTAGATTAGTCAGCGGATAGCTGAGGCGTTAGTGGCCCAAAATGGCCTAAAACAGAAATAATCCGTCAGATTATTCTGTAAGGGCCCCCCCCCCCCTACAGATTTAGAGTTTATAAGAGGGTCAAGAAAATAATCTTTTGCAAATTCAACTCAAATGAACAGCGGCATCGCGGCACGACTTCCTTAAATGGGTTTTTTTTATTCTATTCGTGTTTATTCCGGATTATTCGAGCCTACAGGAAGTCACCCAATCATCCATGGGGTTTATTGGTTTATGATCCCTGGTGGAAAACTAAGTGGGCTTCACTCTAGATGGTATTAGTCGCCACGATTGCATAACTTAGCTGGTAGATGGTCATGAAACTTATCTATACCACATTCCGATGGCTATCGTACTTGCCTATCTATATGGTGATTGTACGTCAAATTGTTTACAATGGTGAGAAATACCGTGACCATGTTTCGAAAGACTACGGCCTCAGAGCCCATAGCCAATATGCCTGATTTCCCTTTCTGCCTGAGCATAGTTTCTTTCTTGCAGATGTCAGACGCCCTGGCCTAACTACTGAAGCGGACCTTCGATCAAACGATACCCTTGGTGTGAACTGAGATCCTTGACACGACAATTCATTGATAGGTGCGTGACGACCTAGTGATGTAGTCCTTCTTGCGGTCTTGTTATAATGATTGACGCTATATACATTGTGACTTACAGCACTTGCGAACTTGAAGCTCGAGTGCTGCATCTAAGCTGTTAACACGAATCATATTTGAAACTGGTGAAAAGTATTAATTATTTCATCTGAAGTTCTGCGTAAAGGGAGCGGATTATTATATATATCCTGTAGCATTGAGAAAACCGTCCAGGACTCGTGTTGCGACTTGAAGCTGTTCGATATCTGATTTTATCCTTGTCACCGCCTCCATGCGGGTTAGCATCTAGAGGCTTTGTTGGACGCTCAAATTGTGCTTTTGAATTCGGTTTTGCTCGCTTCCGCCATGCAAGGAGCTATATCCACTTTTGGACAGTTGTATTTTCTTTTCGACGCCGTCTCGCAACTCTCGATTTTCAGCCACATGGCGTCGTTGCTGGCCATACGCCAGCTTCTTGGCCCCGGGAGCTCAGAAATTACCTCCTCGCAGTTCCACACCTCATCTATCGTGCTATCTCAATTGCGCAAGAAATCCAAAAAACCGAATGGCAAGTCATGTAAGTCTTCTATCTCTAATTTCGATTCTCCTAGATATCAGACACTAATTTTCTTTCTTCTACTAGCCTCGCCACCACGCACCCGTCTTGCGAAGTCGCTCCAGCCAACAGGCAAGGCAAAGAAGCTCGGAAAACTCGAGATAGCAACATCTCGTCCAGAATTCAAGCGTGATGTCGTCCCGCATGAAGGCCTCGCGCCGCAACAACGTGCGAGCCCACCTAGGCGGATAACCTCGGAACCGAGATCTATCCCAAGGCGCAGGACACCAAACGACGATGCGGACGCTGATGCTCAGGTCAAGAACTGGGCCATCAAAGCTCACTCGGAACGAGTAGACAGGCGCAAGGCCGTCGCACGTCAGCCTCCTGTCCCTCAAGTCAATCCCTTGGAAGAGGAATTTGATCTGGCTGCACCGGCTTCCTCCTCGAGTAAAGACCTTCCCACTCGATTCTCTTCTCCGCCCTTGATGCCTGGGCTGTTGGAAAGCTTACAAGAGACACTAGGAAAGGAAGCAAAGCCAACTGCTATTCAAGCGTCGTCGATGAAACATTTATTTAAGGAACACGTGGAGGGCGAGAAGTACAAAGAATTTCTTCTTGCGAGCGAGACAGGGTCAGGAAAGTCGATAGCATACCTCCTCCCAGTATTGCAGGATCTCAAACGCACGGAGCACGAACAGTCCAACGCCGTTTCCCACAATTCATCTCGCAAACCTTTGAATCCACGTGCGCTCGTACTTGCGCCTACGCATGAACTCACTCGCCAACTTGCAGGCTTCGCGAAGAAGTTGTCTCACGTCATTAAGTTGCGCGTTATGTGCGCTAGCAAGGCGAACACACCCAGTACGGCCAAGTCTAGTGGAACCGCCTCGAAGATGAAAGGAAAATTCGAGGACGCTGGCGCTGCGAGTGACGCCGAGTTCGTCATCTCAAAATCTTCCCGTGGGTCAAGACCGGTAGACCTTCTGGTGGGTACACCGATGAAGCTTCTCGAGATGGAGCGCGGGAGAGGCTGGAACTGGGAGGAGCGAGCAAGAGAGCGAGCAATGAGGATAGGGAAAGCCAAGTCCGAAGAGCACGAAGATTTAAAGGAAGAAGACGGGGGCAACAAAGAGGCACCACGAGAGTTCTGGGTTGATGAACCTGAGATGGGCTTGGAGAGTGTACAGTGGGTGGTTGTAGATGAGGCAGACGTCCTGTTCGGTGCGTGTTTAACTCAAGCTATGCACAGGTTTATTGACATTGTACAGATCCGGACTTCCAAGAATCTACTCGCATGCTTCTAGCTGATATTGCTGCAGCGCGTGGTTCGCCTGTTCCAGTAATCCCTTCCTCGGCTCTATCCTCGACTCCAGATTCAGAAGCGACAACCACAACAATTTCCTACCCGTTTAATTTGCTTCTTACCAGCGCCACAATTCCTACATCTCTCGCTACGTATCTTTCAAACTATCACCCATCCCTCACCCGCCTTGCATCTCCCCGGCTGCATCACCTTCCTTCGACCCTTCGCACAGAGCACACGTCTTGGACAGGCGGGAACAAAAACGCAGACATTGAGCGCCGCATCCGTCGCGTATGGGCCGAAGATGCTCTCGTGCACTCCAAGACCGCGACCAGTCCCGGCCCCATCAAACTGTCCAAACTCCTCGTCTTCTGCAACAAACGCAGCAAAGTCGAGCAACTGGCCGCATTCCTCGACAGCCGCGGGATCAAATGTGTCGCGCTCACCGGTGGTGCAGAGGCACGCAAACGAGGGTCGAACCACCATCTCGATGGGTTCTTGAAGACGGGTGGGCCTGTAGCGACGGGTCCCGGTGTGTGTGATCCGGCTCAGACGCCTCATGTGCTTGTTACGACCTCGCTTCTTTCGCGCGGGTTGGATTTTTCGCCGATGATCAAGCATGTGTTCATTGTTGATGAACCGAGGAATATGATTGATTTTTTGCATCGTGCTGGTCGTGCTGGGCGTGCGGGAGAGACGGGGAAGGTGGTGGTGTTTGGGAGGGCGAAAGGAAGGGGTAGCGGCCGGACGGAGGATGTCAAAGAGAAAGTCAGGGCTGTTGCTGGATAGATGATGGTGGTGGGTCGTTCAGTTGGTACAATTATTTCGTGTATTATCCATAGTTGTCTGATAATCCCTACTCACGGTTTTGCGTACTGTGCATTTACATAGAGACAATCCTTTGCGTTGCTAAATCAATCTCTAATCACAGTCAACCTTCAGGGTGCTGTTAATTTCAAGTAGTGATACTCGAATTCGGACTAGTCCAGATTGATTGCCATGGAAAATTCTACATTAAAAGCGGAGTCCGGACACGATGCGTCGATGTTCCCCCCTCGGGGTACGCCGTTGCATAGAGTCTTCTGATCACATCAGAAATCCATCACGAAATATCAACAACGAGGATGGGTCATGGTCATGGACATTTCGGTGAAGCGAGAATGGAGGGTAGGTCACTCCATCTACTGGTCGTACATGTAAACTAACATGTATATCTTATCAGCTCAAATAATGTGACTCGGATCTCAGAGGCCGAGCTCGAGAAGGTTCACGATTAATGTTCAGCGGTCTCCGAGTTATATGTTTTATCGCAACCGTGATCTTTCGCGATCCGAGCCTTCTTCCTGGATCCAGCCTGAGGCCCTGAGAGCCCAGCCGCAGACCCGGGATGAGGCCAGAAAAAAATTATGCGAGCACAAAGTCCTTCAAGTTACTTTTTTACTGCTGTGACGGTTTTGCTTCAAGTTGACGGTGTTTTATGTTTGACTTTTAAGCGTGTTAGCTTCTCACTCATTCTATCGCCCTGAGGGAATCGTGCCAGTGGTTTCTCTTAGGTTATGTGTTCAGTACTAGTGACTCATACACGACCCTACTAAGGCTCGGCTGTCCAAATGCCACGTTTATTCCTGTACTATCCCTGAAATGCGCATGAGGGAATGCCATAGTTCTTTCGAGAATCTTCGTCTCCAGATCGTGATCCTTACTACCAGTCACCATGCGGTATACTAATCTCGAGCGATCCAAGCCCAAGTCGACCCTCGTATTTTTGAAGCCCTCGGGAGCGCCCAGACGTTACTTATGTCACGTGCCAATGACTACAGGGCTTGAATGTTAATCTTTCAACCTATCATCAATTCGTATATGGCCCGTTACTCTATATCGTAACAGCTGTACGCTCATTGTTTACATCTTCCTACGCTCGGATCTTCGAAATGAAAACGAACTTGGTCACCCATTTGGCATGCGTTCCGACAGGATGGCGGCAACTGTACGTTGAATGTTAATGAGTGTCTTGGAACCTAGATAGCCATCGGGGCCGCCGGTACCTTAAATGGCGTCTCTACTGATCTGGAATAACTCCCAAGCACTTTTACCCTAGCATCAGACCGAAAAACTTCCAGGTCAAGAAGCGAGAAGCTATCACTCATGTTCCTCCACTCGGGGTTGCCGACATACATTCCCACATGCCCGCAGCAAGTATGTGTTCCTTTCCTCTCAGTTACGAATTTCTCTCATTCCTCGCTACCGTATTATGCATATGTAGCCCGACGAAGTTTATCTATGACATACTCTGCCGCGTGAAGGCCTGCGCGTACACACGTACCGCATCTTAATGCCCGGTCGTTCCATCACCGCCTGGCTGATTGGCAGTCATTCTCATTGGCCCCTCTCATAGCGCTGTACGGCACAAACTTTTTGCATGTACGTTTCGCAGAAGGTTTTAGACTAGCTGCCGTCTTAGCTAACTCGGTTTCCTTAGGAGAAGGTCGCCGATTGGATGCCTTCAGTGGTATAAAGACATGTCCAGTTTCCAAAAATCGCCATATTCAAGAAGCCTCCACTGCCTTTTCTCTCAGATATGGACACATTGCCTCAATTACCGCGGTCTTCGTCGTCATACCTCTTGGGGCAAGACACACACGTTGACGTCAGGTGAGGAGGTTATCATTTCTACCAACGAGTACTAGTCCTCATGCTGTGTCCAGTTTTTATGATGGGCGGTTCACCGACATCCGTGAATCACAAACTCTACCTCGAGGGTTTGACTATTCGGCGCCGACGTATGTATTTCTCGCGACTAAATGACCTTGCCACTCATGTGTGTTTCAGGAACATGGCGCACAGTCATGCAGGTTCGCAGGAATATTTCAATGGGCCGCCCCTGATTGACACCAGGGCTTGGGAATCCTTGTCCCGCTATCCTTCGGAAAACTTCCCATGCAACTCGCCGTTAGCACCCGATCATTGGCAGTACAGCCATTCTTTATTCGCGGGCCATGAATACCCTACATCTGACAACTACATGGCTGAATCCACTCAAAGCGAGTGGACGACGACGCCAATTGACGCTCATCAGTGCACGCCGTTCGTCCTGTGTCCCCCATCTCCTTCAGTACCCCGAGAATTACATGTGCCTCTTTCTGTTGAACTGCATCAGGAAGATAGGGCGTCGGATGACACAATATTCCGCTGCCCGCTGCTATCAAGTGATGGAACATGCTGCAATGCATTGATCCCGTGCAACGAAGCTCGCATCACAGCGCACTTGCGCACCACCCACGCGCTACGTGCGAAGCGTTTTGAAGTCATCAGTTGTCTGTGGCCTGGATGCATGTGTAGCATGCAAGCAGCTAGCATTCCTCGTCATATCATCACGCTTCACGTCAAGACACGTTTCCAATGTTCGTACTGTGGCAAAAGCCTCACGCGAAAAGACGGGAAGTTAAAGCACGAGAAGATATGTCACGAAAAACCGTGACTCACTTCCATTTTTTCTTTCGGGTTATTGGCTGGTCGATCAACTTTTGTGTAGTGCTTCATCTAAACTAGGATTCCCTTGCATACTAATTACGGCTCCTCAATGTTATACCACGTAGTTTGTTGGAAATTTGAACTTTCACGTGCAATCCCCGAGGGGGCGCTCTGTATGGTCGAAATTTTTCTTGTTGACGAATTATGACTGCAAGGTTGCCCGCTCAAGCCCCCTGAGGAACCAGCATAAATATTACTAAGCAATTTGATTTGATTTGATGATTTCTGAATGAGTCAGTTTGCCAGCAAACTTCTTCTGGTCACCAAGAAGCAATGTTTGCATTCCGGTCGCGTTGCGCGTCCCGCGTAACGAATTCTCGATTTTTCTCGACTTCGACGCGCCTTCGCTCACCTGAAGATCCACCAAAACCACCCCGCCCCATCGATGACTCGACCTCTGCGCTGGACTACAAAAGAGCACAGCGGACACGTCCACCACCTCTTCCTGCTACAGACCTTCCAAGATCTCAAAGTGCAGAAGAGGCTGTGACGAACATCCTCTATAACACCCCTCCTCCAAGTCTGCAGCCTTTTAAAAAGTGTATTTTATTCGCAAACCGAGCTTTTGCGACTTTGCTAACGGAGTCTAATATAGACATATTTTTAATTGCTTGGTACAAAACGAACCTGGTGTGTTATCCCGCGTGTCTGGTATCCTTGCTGCACGCGGGTTCAACATCGACTCTCTGGTCGTGTGTCGGACTGAAATTCGGGATTTGAGTCGGATGTCCATCGTCCTTAGCGGACAGGATGGTGTTGTGGAGCAGGCAAGGAGACAGCTAGAGGACCTCGTAAGTCATTTTGTACAGCGCTCTTTTGCTTTTTTCATCGCAGAATAGGTGCCTGTATGGGCTGTTCTCGACTATACGAATACTCGTGTTATTACACGTGAATTGCTCCTCGTAAAAGTGTCCATCCTTGGTCCCGAGTACTTGGAGGATCAACTCGTAGGTGGACCCTCGCATGAACCGAGGCGGGGTCCCCACCCACCTCATCGGGAGACCAAACTTGAAAAGGAAACGACGCTCGCTCACAATTTCGAGCGTGGTGCCCACCCTAACTCTCACACAGAGCCATACAATCCACCCCCATTAACGCCCTCCGAGGCCCTACGCATCAAACACCAGCACCTCCAATCTATCTCCGTCTTATCCAACCAATTCGGAGCAAAGATCGTCGATGTGAGCGAGAATAGCGTCATCGTCGAGCTCACGGCAAAAACAAACCGCGTCGTCGCGTTTTTGAGTTTGCTCAAACCTTTTGGAATTTTGGAATCAGCTCGGACTGGTAAGTTTTATTTTTTTGATGTGCGTGAGAGTCGAGTTGACTGTTTATAGGTCTTATGGCGATGCCGCGGACACCCATCACGCATTCCTCGGATAAGTCTGATGATATGGCGGATGAGATTGGTGTTGTGGACGCTAGTTTGCTCCCCCCTGGTTAGGTTGGTCAGTCGAAGCGTCTGATATATGTATTGATTAAGATATGTCATACCAACAATTCTATATAGCGAGGAATTTAGAGAATTCATATCTGCGGTGATCTTGTTGTTCTCTGTGGAATGATATTATGAACTAGCAACTGACGTCCAAGGTCAATGATACGTACGCCGGTACGTGTACGTTCGGGGTATTCACACCCATGAGCATACGTTGATAGAGTGAGTCGATCAACGCGACAACCATTGATGGCGTTGATCTGGGGTTTTGTAAGCCCCCATCGTACGTGTCCCAAACTTGCACACGTTTGATTTTTGTTCACCATGAGATGGGCTCTGACGAGTATCTCTCAGAGAGGTTTTATCTTTACATAAATACAGCTATAGTATCTCTATGGAACTGACGTTCATGTTGTCAACGGAAGCTATGTCATTGATTTGTGCAATGATGTTATGGTCCGACGCAATCCTCTTGTATTCTCCGATACGCTGCTGCGCTAGCAAAAATGCGCCGAAAGGCTGACCAAGGTGAACCATCAATCGCAACGCTCGCAAGTGATGCTCCTCTTCTACAGGCGGACTGCCGGGCAACTCGTCAGAGCCGTCTGATTGAGATCTGGGCTCGGACAAGCCCTCTACACTGCCTTCATCGTCTATAAAGTCGAGCTGTTCGAGGAGATCACGATCCCATGGACGAACAAGAAAGAACGTTTGTCGAGAGGGTTTTGCCCGCGAGAACTGAGTTAGTGTCTCGCCGGTAGTGATCAACAGGTCTTGAAGCCCATCTGCTTTGACTCCATATATGAAATGAGTCTCCTGGGCTGGACCACGCCTCCGCCTGATTTCCGCGACACGGAATGAGATGCAAGGTAGATGCAGTCTGCGGTTGGCGAAGCGAGGAGCGCTCATGCTCTTCAGCAGGGCATAGAGTTTTGAGGCCAAATCCACAGCCACAGTATTTTGTCGCAGTAAAGAAACCTCCATCTGAATTTCAGTTTCAGACAAAGATGGCAAGGTGCATGGTGCGGCAGCATATGAGGTAATGTCAGCAGGAAGACAACTATTGAACTCGGATGACTGTCCGACCCAATCGAGGGCAGTAATGTCGCCCGACCGAGCAACAATCTCCTGCAGGAGACGCCCGATCGCGTTTGCCTTCTTCTCGCCATAATCCACAGGTAGACGGACGCCAAAGACGCCAAACAAAGAGTATGCGATGTCTTCTTGAACCGTTGTAACACGATTTGACGCCCATTGAAGTTTCTCTCGTGCACCACTCATCCCTGGGGAGAAGTTGATGAGGGCCTGTCGATCAATGCCAGTGGCGACCTTCAACTCTTCCATTATTGCGGATGACTTTTTATGGTTTGGAGAGTGATCGTTAAGATATGGGGTCCAATCTTTCTGATAAAAGATGACGATTTTGGAGGCAAGGAATTCCTGAAAGGTCCATCCTCGTCTGTTCCACTCACTCATCTCTAGACCGCCAGACTTGATTGAAGGCAGAACATCCGAAAGGTAGACAATCGTAAGCGCTGAGTGTTGATACCAGACGAACATGGAGTTCAGCGATTGTTGCAGCTCGACGTTGCTGGTCTTGTCGATGCAACATGTATCGCTCCATGCCCAGCGGTAACCTGCATCACGAGCAATTTCACAGAACTTTCGCAACTTTGCGATGCCACCAGGAAAATTCAACTTGTATACAACCTTGCCATGGATGTCCTGTAACAGCGGCTCCTTCCCTTCCCATCTATGGGACAACATGACCCAACGGAAGTAAGTCGCCACCGCTTCTGTGATGTGTTCCGTTTGGAGGTTTGCGCGTTTCATAGACCATGACAACCAAAGTTGATTGTGCTCCGCACTCATTTTGAAGGCGCTTATCTGCGCTTCACGGTCACACAAGAGCCCAGTAGCAGTATTGAGCAGACGAAGCGGGGCGGTATGGAGTTGTTGGTCAATGGCCCTTCGGATAACACCTTCTGATTCAGAGGGACTGGCATACCGCTTTCGAAGATCTAAGGGACGGATTGAGCATTCAAATAATTGTGCTACTGAGGGCTTACTTTGTAGTTCGACATTATCTGCACTTTCCAATTTGGCGAACATCATTCGGAAGATCACGATAGCATCATCATACCGTCGTGCGCCTTCAAACGCTGCGAGCTTCAACTTGTATCCAACATAAGACGAAGGGTTGAGTTGGATGACCTTTATATATACCAAAGTCAGCATTTGATTGCAAAACATCCTGAGGTGTCATCGCACCTTCTGTGCATCAACAAGTGCTTCGTCCCATAGCATTTTCCTCAGCTTTGCCTTACTGCGACTTGCGAAGACAGCGTCAGATGCAGAATTTACATTGATTACCGCCGAGTATAAGTCAATCGCACTGTCATAGTTGCTTGCAGCAAGGGCGGCATGTCCCTTGTCAAGGCAGAGCTTGCTACATTCTTTCTTGAAAGCTGAGTGAGATGCGGATGAGGATTGTAGCTTGCATGACGTCATGAACTCCAGACTTGCCGTTGGACCAGTCAAGGCAGCTAGCCCTCGTATCCCTGTCAATCTTATCCATCATGTCTCGGTATGAATTCAGGGCCTCGGCAAGCCTGCCTGCTTGATGGAGCGCAACGCATCGTTTCTGGTGCGCATTTTGCCACAAGGACTTCAAGTCCCATCCGAAGAGCTGCGCAAAGCACGGAGTTCGACATGACAAGCATGCTCGGATAAATCGTATCAACATACCACCACAAAGTCCTTGCATACAGGATGAATGGTCGACGTGGATGAGAGAGCATCGGACTTGACAGCAGCAGTGAAGTGGTTAGCAGCGTGGTTGTAACGAGCGTCATTCATGGCATTGATACCGAGTTGAACATGCAGATATACCTTATGTACGAGATCAGTAACAAGGTTGATCAAGAACCTAATACTTACTTCCACAACCCGGCACGCAAGGGAGTCGGGATTCAAACACATTGCAGCAAGCTCTCGCACAAATACGATTGATTCTTCGTGTTGGTCCGCATTGAAAAAAGCGATCTCCTGAAAATAACGAGTTGAAATACGGATTACGCGAGAGAAAATCTAATGTTGCCTTGATCAAGAGAAACATTATCTTTGAATCTTCGTTCGTGAAGACGGACGCGAGATCAAATGCTATTTTCGCGTCCTGGATGTGGCGTTTTCCGTATAGGGCGATTCCCTTGGAGATATAGCCTACCAATGAGGGCTGAATGTTGATGGACTATGTGACGGAGGGAAGTTGGCCTTTTGTAAGGGAACCGTAATATATCAGTCCATCTCACCTTGATTGCATCTTGAAGCGCATGGTCCCAGTCACATTTTCGTGCCATAACGAATGAGCGGTTGGCATACGAGACGTAATTATTAGCATCAGTGTTGATTTCTCGTGTAAACAGTTGTTCAGCGGTAGACAGATCCCCCGCAATGCATGCATCGTCGGCGGTCATATTGATATTGAGAATCTGGGCATGAAGAATGTTCGAATTGCATTAGAAGAGTCGAGGACGGAAACATGCCTTGGAATCAGAGACTTGAGACTTAGAATAAAATTGGATGTTAACGTGTAAAAAGGCGAATGAGGAATAACTTACATCGTTTGGCATCTTATTATCTAGATGGTCCTTTGGGAAAGCGTCCTTGTGCGAGATGGGTCGATGAAGGGACAGAAAATGAACCGGAGACTCGGGGTAGCCAGATAAAAACAGAGATATAAAAATCAAAAGCAACAAGATAGCTTCATTTATGTAAGTAGCACCTTCCTCCTGCAAAGCATCTTTGGGATCTACTGCCCACTTTGTGAGCGTGTTATTGTCAGTGTAATAACTTCCACTGAGAATGTGTTTGCCGTCTACGGAGAAAGTGAGGGACGCTGATGATTGCTGGAAGATGGCAACGGGTTGTCGATCTGACAGCCGCCAGAGACGGATGCTGTCAGATGCACCGGAAGCAACAAGTGTGCTATTAGGATCAACGGCGAGGGCCTCGATATAATCGGTGTGGCCCGTTGTCCAGGGATCACCGACCTGCTGCCAGGTCAATGTATCCCACTCTACTATGGCTTTATCAGTGCCTGATGAAAGAAGGCGCGTGCCATCTGGCGTCCACGTGATCGCCGCGAAACCGCTCAACAGTTTTGTGACATATTCCCTGGTGCTTGAATTATAAATTTCGGTATCCCATGATGTTCCGATGGCAAGAAGTTCTCCAGATGGCGAATACCGAACATGGTCGACCTCGCTCCTAAAGTGGATTACCTGTAGCACTTCCCAGGTTTCGGTGCACCACAGCTTCAACGTTTTGTCTGATGAACCAGTGGCCAGCACTTTTCCATCAGGAGAAAAGTCCAGTGAAAAGATCCGATTGAGGTGGGTGCCATACCTGACATAGTTTTCGATGTTTCCAGTGAGTTGCCCACCTGTTTCTCCATTCCAGACGGTGACCACTCCGTTCTGATCACCGCTTGCTATCAATTGCCCATCTCGTGATACCGCCAATGCCGATATCCAACTGCTATGCCACTCCATCTTCTTCAACATAACACCTTTCTTCAAGTCCCATATACGAAGCGTGTGGTCCCACGAGGCCGTGACCATTCGTCTTTTGTCAGGAAAAACTGCGACTGCCTGTACGCGATCTCCATGACCTTTAAACTCTCGCTGGGGTGTGGTGCTTATGTTTGGCTCCGACATTCTACTTGGTGTTGAACACGGTCGAGGTGGACTGGAGAAATCGTGGGTATCTTTTTCCAAGAGGTGCGTGTATTGTGTATTTCATGCCGTGTCATCGGCTTCATTCGCCTCGTGTTTCTGTAGACGCCCAAAACCCTAGGTCACTGTTCGCCTCCGTACCTCTGAGAAGCGTTGTGGCGCAGCCGCAACCCAAATCAGGTAATTTCTGATTTGTGGACTTTTGGTGATGTACCCGTAATACGTATTTCTAGACAATATACCCTCCCTGCGCATCTGCACTGTGCACGTGCGTTCGACTCTTGCCTCCACACTTCTAGGATGCATCTCCTCGCATCTAGTTCTGATAATGCAGTCGTGACTTCCCGGCGCTCGAATACTATTCATATGGATGGTCGCATGGATATTGGTGTTTCTCTTGTCGTGCAGCTACTCAAGTAGATCACCTTGTGACTTGCCCGAACACATCCATATAGTGTACTGCAATACACTTCTTGATCTAGTTGAAGATTTCCGTTGTGCATTTTATCTACCACTTGTGAAACACCCTCTAAAGGTGTTCACGTCCTTGCTTCCAGCGTCAGTAGCAACACATCACGTCGTCAATTCTACTATTCTCTTACCATAGCCAATTTTGTGCAAACCAAGCGAGTCTCACAGCTTTCAAGTGATCTTTTGTGGTACAACAACTTTCTCTGCTTGATGCTATCGCAATCTAGGAGCTGTGCGATTGATCTCGCGAATTAATTTGCAGCTATGAATCCTCAACCACAATATACCATCTCATCTCCACCGTGAGTATCAATTGACGGATTTTCTGTATCTCAGATGGAGAACGATGGGCCTACTAAAGCATCCCACAGCCCGCATACACATTCACAACGTCTGTCGCTATCGTACTTGATGAGGGAGCTCCGATCACCTTCAATATCAGGCTAGTATTGAACGGATCACTTTCTACGTATTCCTCGAGGAAGATGACTAGCATACATAAATACATATTACGACGAAGACTATTCCCAGACGTACGTCTCCTTGAATCCACTGTGCAACATCGAATGACTAAATAAGCATGGCATGACGAAACTGAAAATGAATACAGCACTAAATTCTCATGTTCCCTGCAAGCACCAAGCAACCGTTAACTTCTCCCGTGCTACACGCCACTACCAGTCGATATATGCACGCGCTCCTCGAAAGCGATTGAGGTCATGTGGGTTGCTGCATCGGAGTCGGTCACGAGCTTAGCGGTATAGTCTCGAATGCCAAGGATTAGGCGTGGTCCGAGCACAAACATTTGCACGACCGTCAACACTTGGAGTGTACCATAATAAAAATCAACTCTGAGGACATTTGGGTTCTATAGAAATGATGAGCTGTGGTCGCATGGAGAGATCAGACAAATGCACATACCACAGAGATCGCTGGAGAAAAAACCATGAGGTTGAGGCAAGAAACGGCAAGAAAGCTAGCATGTTCGATCCTTCAGCGGAAAAAGGGAACTATATCGATATCTAGAGCTCACCTCAAAAAGTAAAACACGTGGGATCTTATTAATACCGTGAAACAGTCCTCCATGACCCCTCCTGTCGAATGTTGGCGCAGCTCACGGAAGTGTTTTACAGCAATCCAGACTGCGAGAAACAGTACAATGACCTCCCACACAGTGCCGAATATCCAAGTCATAGAATCTAGAAGGAGGAAATTGTCCTTATAGGTAATTGCGCAGTCATAGGTGCCAGAGAGAATGTATTCCTCTAGTATTCATCGATGAGCCATGCACATTTTTGCTCATCCAAAATTAAGCGTACCTCCTGAAGTATGCCTCGTTGACATTACGAAGACCACTACGTTGAAAATGGTATCAGCCAGAAAGATGGCAATGAGGAATATCAGCATCTTTCTGGATTGTTGATACATGGCATGTAACCGAGTGATCACGATGACTTGCAACATGATTCAGTGTCAATATCACTGCGATCTTACTGCAAAGCTCACCTCGCAGCATTGGAAATATCACGACATACATCCAATTCACCGTGATATACAGACTCCAGCCTGATGAATCCGGTTAGTGATCAGTCTTGGATGGATCATACACTCTAGACAAACTCACATCTAGGGTGGTCATTATAGTGAACCAAGAAGCTGGTCAAGAATCACACTCACCTCTACAGCGTGCCGTAGTTAATTGGAGGGAATAGCAAACACAAGTACAAAAGACTCACTGCGTCTGTCAAAAAGATCGTCGGAACATTGACTGTATGCCGCAGGTCAGAAGAAGCGAATACAGTGCATATGAGAAGACATACTCAGTATGTTCAAGCTGATTGTGATATACGGTTCATTAGCGCGACGATGGCAGAGAGCCTTTCAAACATACACAGCAAATGATATTCCAAGATAGCGCACCTAGAGGATATTGAGTAAGCAAGAGTTGCCAATTACTATGATGCAAGCCACATACACTCAGATACAGTACGGTCATCAGGGACCAACGTTGCCTCTGTCGCAAATGAATGTTGTTCTTCTAAATCCTGGCGTGGCTGCTCACCCAAACCAATTCAACCTATAAAACCTTTCTTAGCAAGATGGCTGTTCCGGTCATAGCATCAACATACCTCTTGTCCAAGTGTAAGGGCTAGAGATATTTGTAAGTCATCAGTACTTCTTCCATTATTATCATGCTCACCCCAATCATACGTCACTCCAACAGAGGCGGCAACTACGAAATCGCAGTCAAGGTTAGATCGAGACATCAGCCTCGACATCTGACTGCCACGAACCTACAAAGTAGCTGGAAATGCGCCACGAAGTGATCCATAGCCACGAACTAGGGTCATTTGAGACTACGGTCATATTGTTGGAGGATGGATGGTAGGGTGTGATGGATATATTACAATGACATTTGCGCTAGATATACCACTATCCAGCGCTTGGATCACCAAAAAGAGATTGAGGGATGATTGAACACAGCAAAAGATGGAATAACTTTTAGAACTGTCTGACTATTTACCCGGTTCTGCCATTCTCAACTTTCAAGGGGTCTTGCTGCACGTGCATCAGTCCATCAATCCAATACTGCCGATCTGTTATTATCAAAATCCCTACCTTGGCAGCACAGGGCCAAGGATCATGACAGATCTTCCCAGGTACTATCAACACGTGAAATAGGGAGATTCACACGGAGTAAATAGAAAACTCACGGCAAGTGCGAACACATATTTCACTGTTTTATCTCGGCCTGTTCCTCGTCCTCTGGCAATTTGTCGCTTCATGTGCACCTTGCTGCACTCTGCTTTGGATACCGGACTATCATAAGGATGCTAGAAATGGTGAGCATCTCATCTTCGATTTGCATTGCATTATTGTGGAGCTGATGCGATGGTCGAACCAGATTGCACAGCCAGAGAGGCAGCAACATCCTAGTTGGGATTCCCGCGATTCCCATATATCCAAACCTTGTGAAGGTAAAATGCGATCCCTAGATCAAGATGGCATCGAGACCATGATGGATCATTTAGATAGAAGATCTGGACGTACCGTACCGCCGTCACATTATAATCCAAACTGTATTAGTTGCATAGCGTTGAACATATTCAAATTCACCTCAATATATCCTTGTCACAGACTCTCAAAGGCCGCAGATATGGATTGCCCAATGAAAGCCATCGAGGAGATGGTATATCATCGTACGTGAGGTTCATTGTTACATCAGAGTCCGAGTCTGACACCATGATGCTAGACACAGCCGCCGTCAGGCAAATCCAAACGTCTGGACTACGCCCGCCGACTTAACGACTAATTGAACCCGAGAATGCGGAACCTCGGAAAGGCTGTGGCGAGTGCACATGCATGATAAAACGGTTATAGTGAATGGTCGTCATGGTGTATGAAAGACAGTGTAAGACTTTATCGATATCATCGATTGATTGTACGTACGTACGGCTGTGACGACCCCCTATCGTGATCCATTCAGCAAAGAACTCCAAAGAGGAACCTAGATCCGACCTACATAGATCACTGCCTTTAACACAGAGTCATATAGTACAGAACAAACCACGCACAGAGTCAATACCCAGATCTATCCCCGTAAATACAGCACGACAAGCACTGCTGCACAAAAATACCGATATCCTGATCCTAAATTCAAGTAAGCAATACAGATTGCACGCGCACACCAATTCCAATACCAATTAGACCAATCGTTACCGAATTGCGCAGTGATGAAAAGTATAACAACACAAGTCGTCAAGCTCATAAACTCAGATGTGCACGATGGTGCATTTACTTTGATTCCGGTCTCCATGCCTAGGTCCGTGTCTCGAGATGCGCGTTTCGCCGAACGAGAGCCTTGCTGATCTTCTCCGCCCACATCGTAGGGAGGTGTTCGTCTCTGCGGCATATGCCCGATCTATCAGACTATGACATGCACGATCAGCAGTGTAAAGCAAGGAACAAAAGTGAAAAGACTGACAGTCAGAATAACAGACTCTCGCTCGCCTTTCAGCTCTGTACTCTCGATCACATTTCTGCAGTCCTTGCTTGCATCTCGCACCTTCTCCTTTCCACTTTTCGTGCTCCTTATCTACTGTCTTCAACACGACCTGACTTCTCGAGCTCCCCTTGACCACCTTGCTTCTGTTTTACGCATAACAGCTGCATATTCGTAAGCACCAGCTACCACATCTTCGTCTTCGTGAGACTCGCGCTAATCGGGAGACACACTTCACTACCACGACGTTCAGTGATTGAGCGTCGACGCGCGCGTGGAAGAGGACACGTTCAGACGGTGAGAAGGCTCGATCTAACAAGGGAGGGTTTTCCTGATGGATGGCAAATAATAAGGAAAGAAAGTGTTCATTAGGGTCGTCTCGCTAATTTGAGCTAAGCGCACCTCTTACTTGTCTCATCACTCTATAGCAACTCTGTATTGCGCGGTGCCCACAAATACGTTGGCTTTGTCTGAGAAACGCGTATACACGAATGGAATTAGCTAACCCAGTCTGTTCTCATATCTTTCCGATACCAAAATCAGTAATCTTTCTTCAAAACTTGCCATCTAGGAGGGTTGAGCATATCGATGATAATGTGACAGATACACTCCCGCTGAGATCAACGAGGGTCAGTTGTGCCATCCAAGAGTACTTTCTGTTGAAGGATTCGTTTCAAACCTAAAGACAGCCCTGATTATGTCACCTAACTGCTCTTGGGGCCGCATCGGTTTGATTGTGCTCCTTCAATTCTGAGGGCACATCCAGCTGGGACAAATGTACTTTTTGAATTAATGTTGGCACTGTCAAGTGAAAGAGGATTAGCGAGAAAGAAGTGAGGGCGAAGTTATAGACTGGGAGTTTGCAGTTTAACAGACGAGTGATATTCAAGGGAGGAGTGCAGGGACATGTCACGTACAGACTTACAAGTACTCTCTATGGCGACTATAGTAATCTATATACCTGAAGGCACCTATTATGTAATAATTATCTGTTGAAGTACAAAGTACTATCGTGCCCTCTGGTGTGACCGGTAGCATGTACAGTGATACAATGTATATGCAAGCGTACTATGCACAGAAAGGCTTGGGACATTGATATTGTGGAACTTCCGGTTGTGATCTGCAAAAAAAATGATGCGGTTGCATGCCTCCATACATGTACATACAAGCACCCCAAAATGGCAGCCCATCAGGCCGCCGCATCAAGTGTCCACCAGTTATGGCCGCACACTTGATCGGCTCTAGCGGACCATTCGTCTTCATAATAACCCCAGCTGCGACAGTCTGCAGGGCACCGAGTCTTGACAGGTTCACTTGTTCGCTGCAGTAGATCATAGTAAACACAGAAATTCTCTCTCTTCTACTATTGCATGAACCGAGCAGACAGGCAGACGAGTGCTTGGAAGGAGAGAACCCGAGATAGGACACGTACGACCACCCAGAATACCTATTTCAATATTCCCATGTTCTTTTCCAAAGGCAGAAAGCTGTCTCTCAAGACGATCTGCACAGCTCTGACGGCTGTCTCTTTGTTCAGCTTTGGAAATTTCCTACTCAAGCCCTCATCAAGCGATAGACTGGACATACACGGCACTCCCACGCAATCTACTATCTTCGACTCACGACTGTATGTCCAAGGCCCACCAACCCAACGCTTTCGAGGTCAGTATTCATTGAAAACGTCCAAGCCTTGGGTCTTATCATACTACTGGTCCCAGATAACCTTCGCAACGACACCAAGTACATTACTTCGTGGGGTTCAGCAGGATGGAGTACGTCAACTCCAACCAATCACCACTTAAACCACTGATCACAATTATTTGTTAGCGAATGACGTGATAACCTATGTAAGTCAACATTCACTTCCGACGCTGTCCCAGTCCCTCACAAAAACTAGGCCAATTTGATTTATCTCGCTCTCATAACGGAGCGCATGCCCATAATCCCAAAGTTCCTCTCTAATCATATCGACCCAAGCGCACCTCCATTTGTTTTCGGGGAAGTGTTTGACGTCCCTCGACTTAGTCAAGCCATAGGCATTCACTTGCTTCAGTGGCACGAAGTAAAGGACCCGGAAAGTCAGGTTCTCGATGATCTTGGTTGTTGGACTGTCTGGGAAACCGTTCAACAGAACATAGAGAGTCCTGAACCACGGCTAAATCCCTCCCTGGACGTACTCAAACTCGGTGAGACAACTTCGAACATCCCTCTTCAGTTATTAAACGCATGGTCATCACAGATATCTCGTGGACGCGAACCCCACATTGGGTCGAGCTCATATCTCCTAGTGGCAAACATGACAATCACGCATCCTTTTGGCCCCTCGCATCACTCGGATTTCCCGAAGCTCGCTCGAATAGCCTGAGCTTATCATTAAAGAATCGTCCTTCTCCTCACCATCAGGTTTCCCTTCCCCCGGATGATCACGTATTATGCTTCGATTTGCTTTACTACGTAGGCGCCTATCATACATGGGAATGGGAATTAGACTATTCTCCTGCATGGAGATTTGTAGGCCAACACATGCGATGGACTGCCAGTATGGAACAGATTGCCGATGCGCATGCTCGGCACGCTATGAATGTACCACCACTAATTGAACCAACACCTCCTGTGAGTGAAATTTCGATTATAGGTTGCTTACAGATCTAACTTTGGATAGTATATATCCGTCCACATACGGCATGGTGACTTCAGCCAGCAATGCGGGCAGATTCCTGTAGACCAGTGCTTTGCCCCGTTGTCTGTCATTGCGCGCAGGGTGTCCGAGGTGCAAGAAGAGCTTCGTACACACAAAGGGATCGATGTTACACATGTTATCATGACGAGCGACGAAAGAGACCCGAAATGGTGGTCAGAGGTTAGGGCGTTGGGGTGGACGTGGGTAGATTATAGAGCAGAGCGGACAGAGGAAATCTATGGGAAATGGTGGGTCGATTAAACGCCATTTTTTTTTTCATTCTGGTGCTAAAAGTTGTGGCTGTTACCAGGCATCCGGTGTTCATCGACGCTATCATTCAGTCGAATGGAGCTGGCTTCGTTGGCACTCGTGGTTCTACGATGTCCACACTAGCTAGCCGCAGGGTTGAGTCGTGGCATGACGGAGCAACGAGGCTCGTTTCATGGGGTTGGCCGGGCGCTGATGACCATTGATGCTGATTGAAATGCTAGAATCTACTTTGCGCCTTACAAATCATTGGCTACAATGTTGTATTTCATTTTGATGCGCATAAGGGTCGCTCCTGGGCTCGAATTCACAGGCGAACAAAGGCTTCTTCATGCATCGTAATGGGAATTTTCCCTTCTTGACGGCGACTCTGGGAGTCTTGATGTATTTTAATTTCACCTGTTACAGCCTCTTGCTCGCAGCGTCAACTTGTTACATAGACTCTCTTCAAGCAGACCTAAAGAAGGATGCAGTTTTTTTCGATTAATGTCCTATTGAAAGTGTACTCTATGGTTCAGTAGCGTTGGGGGTGGCAGAACTTGGCAGAATCAAGGGATGTTGATCGCATTCAAGTGTGCTACATTAATGAGACCACGTCCAAGTTACATTATAGTTCCATGAACACTATCTCGTCCACTAACTACTGCTGCTGACACTAGTCCCTCGTCAACACGCGGTGGTTCATAAAGTGGAATGCACTCCCTTTTGATACTTCCGTCCCGATGTGAAGGTGCTGCTAGCAAGCACTGCGGGAATACAGTTATCAGTGCAAATGATTGATTCTGTAATTGTTGTCTTTTGGACCTTGGGCATGAAGAATCAAGACGACTTATCTCATCCATTTCCAAGATTTTGCGCATGCACGAGATGCAACCAATTTTTTTGTTTATTGCTTCTGATAATGGAGCAGTTCCCATCTTTCAATACGCGTTTAATCCAAATCATCATTTTAAAATCTATCACACCCTTTCTTCCAGCGCGTTGCTCCTCGCTCATCTTTATTTTCTCAGCCATCCCTAGCTCCAGTCAGTCTCGTTCGCCAATCACCTTCCCATGCCCATGAGGGCCATTATTGTTGCGATCTGAACCACAGAAGTATGCCATTTGTCTAGTACACACTACTAAGCATCGGTGAGCTCTCACTCCAGCCAAAGCTACCCGAGCCTGCGTTTTATTATTGACATGTCATTGCAGTGCAACTGCAGCGTTCAGAAATCTTATGTTATCAATCACGCTATACATGGACCCAATCCTGGGCCCTATCGAAACATCAAGCGAGTATCACAACTCTCAAACAACATTTCAAGTCTTTTCTGCCATCCCTTACCTTAGAACTTGTTGTAGACTAGTATCAAGAATCTGGAAATCATGTCTATGGTGAGACAGTGATATTGATGCAGGAGGCTATATACGGACAAGTTGCACTCCGAAGACTATTGGAGAAACAACGATATTCATGCGGCAACCTATCATAAACAGCTTTCCCTATTCAGCTACATTCGAGCGACGGGAAGGAGTGACTGCATTTGGGAGGGGACATACCTTACAGGAAGCTGTGGAGACATGAGTGGGATGTACACAGTGCAGCCGAGGAAGGCAGTTATGACTGGTAGGGAGCATTCTTGCTGGAACGGTGATAGCGAACTGCCTCGTGTCTTGGGGCGTGTATGGGACCGAGTTAGTTAGGGTGGTGAAGTAATATAGAAACGCACAATACATGCACCTTAGAAAAAGACGCCCACAAATTACAATCCATCGACCACTGCGCTCAACACTATCAACCTCCAGTAAAATGTCGAACCTCATTCCAAGTACCACGCCCCTTCGAACTTTTATAAATCACGAGAAGTCCGTGAAGGCAATCGCAGTTTTCCCCGATAAGCGACGGATAGTTACGAGCTCAGGCGACAAGATACTTCGTCTTTGGGACTTGGAGACAGGTGTTGTGTTGAAGGAGATGGAAGGGCATAGCCGTGAGGTGTATGCATTGGCGGTATCACGAGATGGTCAAATAATAGCAAGCGGTGATGCAAGTGGAGAGGTCATCGCCTGGCACGGTAAAACTGGTGAATCCATCACCCAACCCATCAAAGTCTCCAACAAAATGATCATGTCGGTGGGATTTTCTCCGGATGGCACAGTGCTGGCCACTGGTTCAGACAACACGAAGCTTTGGTGTACCAAAACATGGAAGATGCAAGGAGATCCAATCAATTCTGACTACAACTATTTTGTCAGATTCTGTGCCTGCTGCGTTCGATATTCGCCTTCTGGTGAACTTCTTGCCATCGCAACAACTGGCGACAATATCCAAATTTATAATACAGGCACAAGAGAATGCGTCGCATCTTTCACAGGTCACACACTTGCCTGGACGCCTGATGGCACACGCTTGCTTTCAGAAGACATTAGTTGCATACGAGAGTGGAACACATCAACCTGGCAGCAGGTCGGTCATCCATGGAAAGGCCACACGGAACATATCAATGCCATTGCCATCAATCCTGCTGGTACCCTCGTTGCTTCTGCATCTGTGGACCACCATGTCCGTCTCTGGCAATTCTCAGATGGACGAACCATCGCCATCTTCCAGCATTCATTCATCCCGAGATGTGTCACGTTCTCTATGGACGGTAAGCACCTCCTCAGCGGAGGTTACGATAACAAGATCTCAGAGTGGGCAGTGCCCAGCAATGTTCATTCAAAGGCGAGTTTCCATACCGTACTTGATTCTCATAACGCAATTCGAGCATCCTTCCTGCAGATCCTGGCTATCACGACGGCCCGCGAAGCATGTGTAACTGGAGACCTGTCTATTGCTGAGGAGCTACTCACGCAAGATATCCACACCGACGCCAACGACTTTACTGCATATGCCAATCGCTCATTCGTTATGGCTCGGAAACACGCTTGGGACAACGCCCTTGAGGATGCAATCAAGGTGAGATAAACTGACCCATCATACCCCCCTTACAACACAGCTAACTTTCATCCGTGACATAGTCCATCAACATTCAGCCTTCGTTGACCGGTTACATCTCCAAAGGTATCGCCCTCTGTGGAAAAGGTCTTGTCTGGGAAGCAATGATAGCATTTGATGGCGCGTCCATGTTCGCGAACCAAGATTCAGAAACCAACCAATTTCTTCTTTTGATAAAGGTAGGTCAAAATCATCTCGCATACTCTCTGCTTTATTATATATTTTAGGCGATCGCACTCTTCAATGCAGATCAACATGAGGAATCATTGCTGCTCATCAAAGAACTTGCTGCTGCTTGTCCGGACACCGATCCTCTTGCGCGTCTTACCGTGGAGGTAAGTATCCTGCGGCTACACTTCATCATAGACGCTGATCTTCGCAACTCGCACAATAGACATATCTACGCGTTCAGCTCGGCATCAAGGCTTTGGATGATGCGCGTCATGACGAAGCCGTTGACCACTTCACTGCCGCTGTCAACTCCACTGCTTTCTCATCGAAATATATTCATTTTCTATACCAGGACTTGATCGTGGTGCGTCAAGATGATGCATACATAATGCTTGTCATAATTGAGTGTTTTATTTCAGCTCTTCGGCTGGGACCTCGAGTCCGTGTTGCTAACGACACATCAGAAACGGTGCCAGGCATTCCTTTTGGCAGTCAAACCTGATAAAGCCCTTGAAGCACACAAAGACATGATAGCCGCCATTGATGAAGCTGCGAGGGCCAGCTGCCTCGATTGGTCCAATGGCAAGTTTTTACTTATGTCACCTAGGGTCATCATACTCACCCTCATTTCACTCAGAATTCATGGAGCGATGTAACGTGCTCTGTGCTGCCAACGGAGATGTTGCTCTCGCTGCGAGCGATTATGACAAGGCTATTCGCCTATACTCGGCGATAATCAACTCCAATTCTGCATCTCATTCCGTCTTCGCAAATCGCAGTAAGGCAAAGTTGGGAAAAATGCTATGGACGGAAGCACTTCTCGATGCACAGGAGGTGCGATGGCAGCTATAATCCCATAACCAATGCTCACTGTGGCGATACATAGGTCATTGAAATCGACCCTTTATCTTATAATGGATATAAATTGAAGCATGCAGCGCTTCACGGTGCGCGGCGCTATGATGAAGCGATTCAGGCCTTCCAAACGATGCTCTCAAAATTGGACAATGCACCCGACATTCAGACACAAAGTAAGCCTCTGATACACATTTGTCAACATGTTTAACTCTTTCCCCAGAGCTATGCCAGCAGTATTTGAAACCCTCCGAAGTAGAAGGTGTCATTCAACGGGTCATTGATGCTCAATTTAACAATGCCCCGCTGCGTGTACTAGACACCACCACCGGTCTCTTATGTGATCGAGAGACGCAGATAAGCGCCTTTAAAACGAGCACAGAGTACAAGGAGATTGTGTCATCAACGATCACGCATGGAGACTTGCACATGAAGCACATCGAAGAAGTGGTGAAGAGGTACTTCCAATATGCCATGCTGTCACACAGGTGGGAAGGGAAAGAGCCGCTGCTGCAGGATATTCAGGGCAAGGGCGCATATGACTCGGAGCTGGATCATATTGGCGGCATGACGAAGCTGCGGTCGTTCTGCAAAACTGCTCGCGATGCGGGGTATAAGTGGGCATGGAGCGATACATGCTGCATCGATAAGAGCAACAACGTCGAACTTCACGAATCGGTTAACTCTATGTTCGTCTGGTATCATCACTCCGCGCTAACGATCGTCTACCTGTCTGACGTTCACCCATCGTCAAAGTCTGGCGCACTTTCAAAAAGCGCTTGGAACACGCGCGGATGGACAGTTCAAGAATTCGTCGCTCCCAAAGTCATTCTTTTTTATCAGAGCGATTGGACTCTTTATCATAATGACCATACTACCAACCACAAGGATTCCATCGCAATAATGCAGGAGTTAAAGGAGGGGACAGGCATAGACCGACTAGCTGTCGCGGCCTTTCGTCCCGGTATGAACAGCGCCCGGGAAAAACTTCATTGGGCATCAACCCGCATTACCACGCGTCAGGAAGACATCGCATACTCCTTGTTCGGTATCTTTGGCGTCCGCCTGCCTGTAGATTATGGCGAGAAGCTGGACACGGCGCTTGGACGGCTCCTGCAGGAGATTGTGGCTCGGTCCGGCGACATCACTGGCCTCGATTGGGTCGGAAAAGCATCAGAGTTCAATAGCTGTCTGCCAGCCTCCATCACTTCATACAAAGCTCCACCATACAAACTACCACTTCTCCCCGAAGATGAAATTCAGTCATCGGTTTCTTCTCTGCGAAAGACAGAAGCTGTGGGTTTTGCTTCGAGTCTTTATACCCTCCTTCGGGACACGAGCGCTCCTCGCTTCGCAGCACAAAGACTACATCTACCTTGCATTGCATTCAATATCAGGGAAATCAGACGGGTACCCAGCCCAGCTCCAGACACTCACTTCAAGTATAGAGTGAATGCAGATGGACTTCGGGACTTGTTTATCACCACCGCAGAGACCCTGATTCAGTTCTGGCCGGCAAGGCCGATCGAGCAAAAATTTGTCCTTGTCCGTCCCTGGGATCGGTCTCTCCTGGAGCTTCCTGACTTTGCAGAACCGCCTGAATCCGTAGAACCATCTGACTATGAAAACAATAAGGAGAACGAGGAGGATTGTTGCACGCCGCCTTCTTCTCCGTCAGACGACTCGTTTGGTGGTTCTCCTGGAAGACAGGACGTATTTGACCTAGAATCACGAGCATTGCGGTTGCTTGTTCGCCTTGGGCAGCCTTTCAGTGCATTTTTACTAGCGCAGCAGCGCAGTGGAGAATACAAGAGGATCGTAACGGATCATGATATCGTTGGACAGATCAAGGATGTAGTTTCTGTCGGAGACCTGATGGACGTCAGAACCATGGAAATATTGTAGTCGATTGTCTTCTATTTCAAAGTTTATGGACCTCTGAGCGGTTTGATCTACATTTGTGATTTAGAGATGATACTCGTGCAGTCTAGGTTTCATATATGCACGCGTATCGGTCCATAGATGGGGTACCTGCATATGAGTACTACATCGATGACATTGGTCACAAGTAGTTGACTTATCTTTTGTTGGAGGACGTGTTGTCGCGCTTCTTAACTAACGTTCCTCTCGCTGTAGAATAGCAGTTGTTGCCTCGTTTGCAGGCTCCCTACAAGGGCGGAGCTTCAAGCAATGGATAAGGGATGATACAAAGCCCTTGTGAAGGTATCCAAATACTTTCTTTAATTCATTTCGCTGATCTTTCGCCTCCTCCTTTATGCAAGATTCTTAAAACCCAGCTCTTTCCAGCCTGAACGAGGAGGGATGGATTGTAGGTCCCGAAGGACGGCTTCTCCTCTGGAACCTGCTCAATTTCTCTCGGGTGGTATATGCCCCCAGGCAACACGCTGGTGATGCCCAACACTGCCCTGCAACTGGACTTGAGTCGTGAAAAGTAGTAGGTTGCTTTTCTTTCGTATTTGTATCTGTCAGTTGGACTGTAAGCATGTACTACTTATGTTAATCGACTGAAGATTTATGGCTTCCCTACAAGCTTCATACCCGTCGCATTGCCTCATACATAGTCACATAACTGTCCAAGCTATCGAATCTCAGGACGTGGTGGTCATTCCTTTCTTGCTATTCATGTGTATCAATATAGTGGTGAGAGGACGCGTACATATAGACCCTGACAAACATGGAGGCGGGAAGACCTGTAGCGGATTTGTGGGTGTTTTTCGGATACTTCAACTCTATCGTCGATCTTGGTATAATATCTATAGCAGCTGGTGCATGGCAGATCACGGGGATCGACGATATGAGCACATGGTAGTGTAGTGAGCTGTGTGCACTTGGACAAGTTATATGATAAAGTGTACTGTTGGAGAAACAATGATATTGGTGGATAATCTATTTAAGATAGTTTTCAAACCGATTCGAGGGCCGGGAAGTAGAAAATGCACTATCGCCATCGGATGTGGGGGTGTATGTTCTGGAAGCTTGGTCAGACGCATGTGCACGCTGCTGTCGAGGAAGGTTGTGACTCAGCTGCAGGGGGCATTCATGCTGTAACGGTAATCCGAGCAAACTGCCTCGTGTCTTGGGCGTCTATGGAAACGAGAAGGCTAGTGAAGCAGCATAAAACCGCACAATACAAGCACCTCCGCACCTTAAAAGACACTACAATCCCTCCATCGTGCTCAAACGCCATCAAAATGTCGAACCTCATTCCAAGTACCATACCTCCTCGAACTTTTGAAGATCATGAGGCGACCGTACAGGCAGTCGCCGTTTTCCCCGATAAACGACGAATGGTTACGGGCTCAGAGGACAATACACTTCGTCTGTGGGACTTGAAGACAGGTGCTGTGTTAAAGAAGATGAAAGGCCATAGCGGTGGGGTGTGGGCGTTGACGGTATCACGAGATGGTCAAATAATAGCAAGTGGTGATGGAAATGGAGAGCTCACCGCATGGCACGGAGAAACCGGAGAATCTTTCATCCAACCCATCAAAGCCCACTCTAAGCAGATCACCTCGGTGGATTTTTCTCCTGATGGTACGGTGCTTGCCACTGGTTCACATGATGACACGGTGAAATTTTGGTGTACCCAAACATGGCAGATGCAAGGAGAACCAATCGAGTGCGGTGCTTGGGTTCACTGCATTCGATATTCACCTTCTGGTGAACTTCTTGCGATCGCAACATATGGCGATATCCAAATTCATAATTCAGACACAAGGGAATGTGTCGCATCTTTTAAGGCTCACATGCACACAGCATTACTCGTGTGGACGCCCGATGGCACGCGCCTTCTTTCAGCAGGCAGTAGATATGATCCCACCATTCGGGAGTGGGACACATCAACTTGGCAGCAGGTCGGTCATCCCTGGAAAGGCCATGCTGATCGTATTAACGCCATTGCCATTAATCCTGCTGGCACCCTCGTTGCCTCTGCATCTGGTGACAAGCATGTCCGTCTATGGCGGCTCTCAGATCGACGAACTATCGCTATCTTCCAGTATTCATACCCCACATGCGTCACGTTCTCTATGGATGGTAAGCACATCCTCGGCGGAGGTTATAATAATCAGGTCTCAGAGTGGGCAGTACCCAGCAATGCTCATTCCAAGGCAAGTTTTCATACTCAATTCTCATAACACAATTCGAGCATCCTTCCTGCAGATCCTGGTTATCACGACGGCCCGCGACGCATGTGTAACTGGAGACCTGTCTAATGCTGAGGAGCTACTCACGCAAGATATCCACACCGACGTTAACGACTTTACTTCATATGCCAATCGCTCAATCATTATGGCTCGGAAACACGCCTGGGACAACGCCTTTGAGGATGCAATCAAGGTGAGATGAACTGACCCATCATACCTCCCTTACAAAAAGGCCAACTTTTATTTGCGACATAGTCCATCAGCATTCAACCTTCGTTGACAGGTTACATCTCCAAAGGTCTTGCCCTCTGCGGAAAAGGCCTTGTGCGGGAGGCAAGGATAGCATTCGACGTCGCATCCATGTTCACGAACAAAGATTCAGCCACCGACCATTTCCTTCTCCTGATAAAGGTAAGTTCAATTTGTCTTGCAAGATTTCTGCTTCATCTGGTGTCTCAGGCCATCGCACTCTTCGATGCAGATCAACACGATGAAGCAATGCTGCTCATTAAAGAGCTCGCTGCAGCTTGTCCGAATACCGATCCTCACGCGCACCGTGTCGTAGAAGTAAGTATCATGGGCTACACTTGTCCATCGACACTGATCCTTGCAACTTGCACAATAGACATATCTACGCGTTCAACTCGGAATAAAAGCCTTGGGTGATGCACGTTACGACGACGCCGCTGGCCAATTCACTACCGCTGTCACCTCGGGCGCTTTGTCGTCGAAAAACATTCATTTAATATACGAGGACTTGACTGTGGTGCGTTAAGATGATGTATACATAATACTTTACATAACTGAGTATTTTGTCTAGCTCTTTGGCTGGGATTTCCAGTCCTCGTTGCTCACTACACACCAGAAACGGTGCCAGGCTTTCCTTTCCGCAGGTAAACCCGATGAAGCCCTTGAAGCACTCGAATACATGATGGAGACCATCGACGAAACTGCGAAGGCCAGCTATATGGATTGGTCCAACGGCAAGTCTTCCGTCATGTCATCCACAGCTGTCATACTAACCCGCATGCCACTCAGAATTCAAGGAGCGATGTAGTGCACCCGATATGAAAGATGGTATTCTTGCTGTATGTATATTTTTCTTCAACCCGTTCACTTCTGACCTGCATGCAGGAGGAGATTCCGGGGCAAGAGCAAGATGGACATGATACAGAACCCGATTTCGTCCACGGAATGCATCAAGTGCGTGCACTAGCAGATCCTTCTTTTCTCTCTCACATCGTCATTACAGCATTCTCAAACTTCCCAGCCACAACCTCAACAGCGCCCTGGCCTTCTCAAAAGACTCAGGCTTGCTATGACGAGAACCCTTCATTCAGCTCCCTCACCTGTACTATCCATCGCCCCGCCGCCATTCGCTGCCGCTACCACCTTTAAAACTCACCTACGACACCTATTTACCCGCATGACCTCTCATGCGGCGCCACCTGTCGTCGACGCTCCTTCTGTACAGGGTCAACAGGTGCACCCTTTCATTTTTATAAATGTTTCTTGGGTGTCTCACGCTTAAATTTAAAGTCTCATACTACAGCGGGCGTTCCTGGAAGTGATGACTCCTTGATACGCGATGAAGACTGTCATAGATCTCTTTCACCGGATCCCAATACGCAACAGCAACATCAACCAGTAGCAATTCAAATAGACACTGGGGAACATGGAAACGGTCTGTCGTGTTGCTGCTGCTAGGGACATTAGTGAATGTCCGCAGGTATTTCAGTTTTATCGTCCATCTTGTTATGATATCTACGTTGACTCGAAGCAGTAATATATCGATCGACATTGGCATTTTTTAGATCATTTGGTATCATCCTCTAGCAAATTGTGAAATCTTGATTTGCGCATAAGTTACTACTCATATATCGTGCTCATGTGAAACTGCAGGGCCATTCCCCATTCAGTGATATCTCGTCAACTCCACAGGACGTGCACCGGTTCATTCACTCTACGGTGTTGACGGTGTTGTTATGTAAGCGTGTGGCTGTACAGTCTAAGTATGCATCCCAGATGCTACTTTCAAAATTCAGATATTTTCAACTATAGATACGCGACTGTCGCATCTACGCTATTTGTGCATGATGTGCCAGGGTGCTCAGCGCTCAGTCTCAGCATTGTTACTCTACTTGAACCCAACCAAGTTGTCGTATCTCTAAATGTCTGTTCCTACAGCTAGTGGTACACCATTTTGGGAGAAGACTGCGACTGTTGAAGTGAAACACAACCCACAACCAGTGCTCATCCTTAAACATGGCCAAAAACGGGTCATGGTTAAACGACAAAGGTCCTATAATGTAGGCGGAACAACTATTGAAATCTTTAGTGACTCATAGATATCGACATCATAATAAGCTCATGCTCGACACCGCCTGCAAATATTTCCCAGGCATTCCGAAAGATATGATCACGTTGCAGACCAATCAACTCGATGTTTGCGGGGGATGCTATGTGGACATCACGCCTGAAGTATGGGATGATGTCGTTGACTTGTTGAACGTCATCGAAATTACTCGTGCCACAGAAGCGACATTGCCCTTCTCGTCACCGCTCCAGTGGACTATTCCACCGCCTTACAATCAATCGGCACCTGGACCAGTATTGAAGTCAAGACCACACGAAATCACAATCAAAGTTGGTCTTCCATCCGGCGAGATTCGGAGCGCTGAAATTTCAAGGGCAACGCAAGTGGGCAAACTCGTTGCAGACGCCAGTACAATATTGGGGTGTAGTCCCACCAATATAAAGGCAGTCTGGGGTGGGACGATATTGTGCGAGGATCGTAGTATCGGATCGTACGCCATCGAGGATGGTGACTCCATCAATCTTCAGTCGGGGCCGACATCTTTTGCAAAGCCAGTCATTTATCTACACTCGCCCGCCGACATCGATGTTTCGGTCAAGCTGTCCCTTATTCCCGAGTGGAGCCTCTCTGTCATCTATCCCGTTGTTGCCACGGATGACCATAAACGGCATTTAGAATGGAATGTCAGTACCCGTAAAGATGGGGGTCTGACTGAACACAATTCTGGTCTAGACGTCTCATACTTGTTCTGGGAGGCAGAGTAAGTATCTTGATCATACAGAAATCACTCTCCTAATTTGTACTACTTTTGCAGAACGAATTTGCAAGCATTTCCTCGTTCACCATCATCCAAACCGCAACCAGCGGATACGTTCAATCCAATATACAGCAGTCTCGATGATACGGATTCAATCGTTATTCCAGTGCATAAAGTCACTGTTTACCTCGATAAATCACTCAAGCTTTTGGGACTCCATACCGAAGCTAGAACATCGTTCATAACGTGCGTACATATGCGCTACCTCGGACTGTCAAATCATAAACACGTCACTAAAACTGTCATGACAGCTACTGGCTACCATCTATCCTCAAGCACGAATACATTGCCCTCCGATTTATCCCTCAAGCGGCATACGAACGCGCCGCTTCACTTAGCATTTCTCCCCAGCCTGACGTTGTGACTCGTGTATGCATGTTGTTCAAGGGTATCCGTAAGGAGCACCTAGCAGATTGGGCTAATGCACAAATGCAAGCAGAGAAAGACGTTGATTGGTGGGTAGATGTAGTCGGAGTCGATCCTGCAAGAGCTGGTGATGTGACTTTGTTCAGGGTGTTGGAATGGGGCGGGATGGAGGTTCTCATTTGATGTTCTACCCCAGGTGTTACTGCATTTTATCTTGATCAGTTTTGCATCCTACAGTTGTGAGCATATGCATGTATGTAGTTGAAAAGCTGTTTTGTTATTCCAATTTGTGTCCGTTGAGGATACGTATGGCAATCTCCAGGGACTGTTTCTTATCTCTAAAGTCATGAATGTCCTGGTGTGAGGCGTGCTCTCACCGGTCCGCCGTCCCCGCCGGCCGTTTCACTGGGTGAAGATGAGATGATTCTAGCTCTACTGTGGTGATCGGACGCGTCTCTTGCTTTGAAGTAGACCGCGTGGCGAGTTTGTGAAATCAAATTGACTCATAAGTAGCGGAAATAAGAATTCAAATTACGCAGTGTCCTCATTGCAACTCTGTAATATAATAATGTCTGGAGAGCCTCAAAACACAACTTCCTACTAACCCCACACACGAAAACAACAACAATATTAATAAAGGTTATAACCACAAATCAAAACCACACGCCATCGACCCAAATAAAATGAATAAACAAGCCATAAATCACGTCTGTCCATCCCGCAAAAAGTCCACATACTCAGTCAAAAACCGCACCTGTTCCAGCGTCTCGATGGCCTTGACGCTTCGCCGTCTCCGTACAACAGCGATCGCGCGCTCGACGAGTTGTAAGGTGTCCCTCCTCACATAATTTTCTAGGCCATCGGCGCCTTCTGCTGGGTTCGGTGATAGGTCCATGTTGATCCATCCGCACAAGCCGATTTTTAGCGCCCAACAGCACGCTACGAGGCCTGCCCTACCCAAACCCCCACGACAATGCACAAGGATACTCGCGCCACGCATGGTGTAACGGTCGATGAGTTTTGTCAGGGACTCGTCTAATGACTGTGGCGATAGCGGAGCAAGACCTTCAGGTAGTGGTATCCTGCAGCATGATGAAAGTGAGCAACTGAGTAATTGAATAAACGGGTACTTACCGAAGGATGTCCATTCCTGCCCGGTGCGCAGAGCTCACATAGTCTGACCAGCAAATTCCAAGAAACTCAAGCTCTTCGTCATCGAGGCAACTGCAAACAGTCAATTATGCACAGAACATATCGATCCGTCAACTAACCAGACAATACAGCGTGCTCCAGCTTGGCTTATACGTCGTAAATCAGTGTCGAGATCTCGACAAACGGCGCTACGTCCCCTGACCGGACCTGCGAGGCGCACTAGCGGCCGTTTTGAGACTAGTCAGCGAATACACTTGTGTCGTGAGTAAAACGTACCCTTCTTTCCTGGACACGAGGACAACATCAAGTTACCCAGCTTGAAACAGCGCTTGGTACCATGAATGTTTGATGTTGGACGGAGTGATGCGCTGGACGCTCTCAACTTGGTGGGATTCTGCGATGCAACCGAAAATGCTAATCTACATCATCAGGCTTACGCACAAAGAACAGTGACGGCATGGACTCACTGTTCACGTTCGCTGGAATTAAGGAAATCGAGCATAGAAGGAAAGCCAACCTTCGGAAGAGCCGAAGTCCCTCTTTGTGCGGAAGAAGACCTGTTGCTCGCGAAATCATCGGATACCATGCGAACTTTGGTACTGTGTTGAAGAGTAGGAGAAGGAAGCTTCGCTATTGATGGAAGCGAAGGTCGAGTTTTGGTAGCAAGTGTTGTTAAGCGCGTGTCAATGGCAGCCTGAAGAGCCTCAATTATGGACTGCGGTGGCTGGTTCATAAATGCTGGGGGTACCGGAAGGGGAGGGGTACGAGGAATAGATTCTGGTGAAGAAGAATGCGCGGGTATCGAGGATAATAGCGGAATTCGAGTTGACCGACGCGAGTGAGCCTTACGTGAGACTGTTAGAGAGGTAGGGCTCGTTGTTGATGGGATGTGCTGGGCATAATCTGTGATGCGATGCAGGGTATAGAAATCCGGTATATAGAAGATGACAGGTGAGGGCTCGGGATTGATTATAAGATGTGATGACATTGCAGGTAATAGTTCCGGAGGCAAGATGGTGGATATGCTACATTTGAAAGAAAAGTATGAGCCAGAGTTCTTCACAAGTGAATTAAGACGAACTTTAACGGATGGGTTGTAGACGTTTTGACGGGCACGCTGTGATGCGAGAAGTCTTCTGGGGGTGAGATTTGTGAAGAAAGAGTATCCTGGAGCGCTGCGTTGAGCTCTTTCTCGAGAAGCGGGTAGAGGCAAGGACAAGCATTTCCGGTAAGGAGTGCATCGCGCTGTTCGGAAGCGGGTATGACTTGTGCCATGGGGCAGGACGCCTCTGGACATGGCCACCACAGTACACCACTCGTATTTGCTACCTGCCGTATGCGCATATCATGAAAGGTGTCCGGCGCGTGCAGTAATAGTGGTGCATATGGAATGGGACAGCCTGCAGCGGCGGTTAGGGAAAATGGTTTGAATGATGGGAACAAATGATGTACCTCGGTGGCCATACTTTATACGGTTGTATTCGCTAAGGTGGTATTGCGAGGCAAGGTGCGTAAGCTGGCGCGCATAAGACAGTGAGCTACATGCCGGTGCCATTCAACATATGACTTACTTGTGTGACCCATGGTTGTATTGCTACTTTAGACTGAATAAGGGATTTGGACTGCTCGAGAAGTACGCTGGGATCAAACTGCGCGGAAGGCGGGGTAGGAATATGTTCTATGAGGGTGGGGGTCATAATGGGGACGGGGTAGAAAGGATGCAAAGTACCGCAGGTAATAGGTAGGGTTTTGTAAGTATGTTAATATTGAACCTTGATCGAGGCGCGCGGCAGCACTATTCGCTACAATCGTAATGGAAACCTAGATCAAATCCATCCTGAGAGTTCAAGCTCTATGGGATACCAGTTGCAGATTAACCACAAGGTCGTTATTCTATGCGGATGAAGCTTACTAAGTCCCACGAGCATTGGAGCCAGCGAAGGCCAGCGGCGGGCTATAGCAAGCTGTGTGGGGTCCGTGAACCTGAGTCGGGTACCCTCGGCTATCACTAAGCTGAGCGGACATCCATCCCGCTCTCGAGCATTGTCAAGCCCTCATCATATCCAGCTATGGAAAAACACCAGCTGCAGGACTCATACAAATATTTGACTTCCGGAGAATCGATGCTCTAGCTAGTAAGTGAAATGTCTGATGAAAATCAATATAAAGATGAGATAAACTCGCAGACTCCACCATCGTTATATATGAATCTATCGTTATATTTGGGAAAGAAAACTTGTGATGAGAGCTTTGACATCGTCACAGGATTTATCGTACAGTTTTTCTTCCTTGCCAAGGATCTTTAGGTCAGTCTTGGTTAGCGTGGTAATGCATGCATGTCCAGTATACTCCGGAATACCAAGAGTTTTGAGTATATCCAGATTGTTCGCCCACCAACTCTTCAAAGGAGCTTCAAAATTCTCCAAACTGGTGACAACCACTACGACCGGCACATTTTTGCCTAGCACCGACTTGAACTTCTTATAGTTGCGCCCATGCGACTTCTTCAGAGAGCCTCGCCTTCCCGGAATGCAGTATACCAGAAGGCACGGGCCCTTGATCTTCTTCAAGTAAGTTTTGAGCCGCTTTTCGGCCTTTGGAGCCCAAAGGAAGCCCCAAGACCCTTCTTCAAGACCAATTGTGTCGTGTACTTGACAAGGACATTCGGTCCCAAGGTCACATGGGTACTTCTTCTCTACTTCTGTGCAACCAATTGTGTCGTTCGAGGTACGAGCTTCAGCCCCGGGACAAAGCATGTTAATGAGAGAGCTTTTCCCCACCCCAGTTTGACCAATGATGACCACGCTCTTCGACATATGATTCAAAAGGGATCTAGACCCTCAACTGGTGGAGATGTGACCTTTGCAGGCAAAAGAACTGGTGGCGCCAAAATTGTGCAAACCGATACCCAGTGGATGGAACTTGGTAAAGACAAAAAAGGTTCCTATGGTTTGCCCTTTGGGGTGATGAGACGGTGTTGGTACCAACGCATGGATCTGAGGTTCAGGAATAATACCACGCCACCAGTGTGGCGAAGTACAACGAGGTTGTCCTTTAATTACCGGCCGCCCCCTAGCCTACTCAATTCCACTCAACCTGGATCCTCTTCAGATGGAGTCGAGTATAGACCTAACCTATGCCTGCAGCGAAACTCACTTTGTTTCCTGTACAAAGTAAACGTTCGAGTTAAAGTGTTAATATTTCGAAACTGGGGATCCAGTAATCGATGATCAGTGAATGTCGAGGACGTCCGGGAAATGGAAACCCTAGGTCCAGACTGTAACGTAGTGTGACTCATCATTGTCACGCGTGACAACAGTGTCAGTTTCTGTGCTCGCCACGACGACCACCGACCACCGACCACCGCCAAGAATGTTGTCACTCTATTTTCAGGTCTCCTCAATGATCCCAAAATCGCAGCCCTGTCATATATGTCATCAATGTACTTCATTCAATCAGACAATATGATCAAAGATGATATGTGAGTGCAGTGCGTATTTTTCTCTGTGTCATCTCTCATACCAGCAGTGTTTCAGCCACAAATTGTGCACAATTTTACAATGAGGCTCAGGTGCGACGCGATACCCTCAGCATTTTATTCAAGATGTCTGTTCACAACAGGGGGACACATTTATAATTCTCGCTCTTACCAGGGCACCAGACTCGGTGTCCCTCATGGCAATCGACGGAGCGATCGCTTCACAACCGCAATACAAGGCACCATAGTATGTGATCCGGCTATGGAAAACAGATATTATCAACCGCAAGATCTACTTATCGGTAGCCATATGCATTATAATTGGCGCTTGTAAGGTAAGCAACTTGAAGTCTCGAACGAACATCCAATCTAAACTTTTGGATCTTCTAGATCTAGTGAAGCCCAGCGGGCCATACATCCACAGGTGCCACTCCAACTCCGATCCTGCATTCGTGCATCGTATAGCTGATAGGCTATACACTGGGGGTGCCCATGAGCCCAAGTCGCTAAGCCGATAATGTAGCGTATATCGCGCTCGTGGACACCCGCTGCATCACCAACCCCGCCGCTCTCGAGCATTCCCTCCAGCTCCGTACTACCAACTATCTTATTCCCATCTGCGATACGGAATTCCATTCCTCCTGTGTATGCTGCATTCTGGTATAACTTCTCATGGGGAGTATATCCTGCTTCCGAGTCGTGCAAGCAATTACTGCAGTGCTGACGGATCAGGGCATATACAAACAAGGTATCAATCATCACATTCAGCGTGCGGGGTCCATACGGTAACAATGTAGACACGCATTCTGTCGTACTGTCATTGGGGTCACTGATTGGTGAGTACAAGTGCGTACCACAAGAACCGCGCTCAATTCCTTATCCCAACCAATCTAGGAAAACCGTGCTGCTAAAGCAGAACATCGCCTAGATTGCGCACAAGAAAAAGTCCCATCGGATTGTAGATGGTGATGTTGATTGGATCACAGTGACACTTCAGGTGTGTGATAAGGTTATGTTGAAAGTCACAGAACAGAGAGGCGAGTTGGGAGAACTTTGACTTTCTTTTTTTTTTTTTTCAAAAGAGAAGAAAGAAAAAAAGAAAGAACAAGTTCATACGGAGCAGCCCATGATAGTGTTGTACCTGCACAGATGTCAACCGAGAGATTTGTACCCTTGGCATCAATTTGGTGGTGCGATTAGAATGTTTAGTAATTGTACCGCTTGTGACAGCGAACGCTAGCCGTGTACGATTACAAGCCTCGAAGTATCTGAAAATTCAACGTTATGATATGTGATTTAAATTGTTATACAGAACAAGCGTCACAAGCCAATCAAAACTAGGTCTTAAACGGAGAAGTCACGTACGCGAACAGGTCCATAGAGTCATCAGAAGGCAACATAGCCGCAGGCGAATAGACAGATAGTTTCCGAGATAACGATGGCTGCGATCGTTTGGAACTGGACAAGATGCTAGTTGTAGGGGATTTAAAATCATGTAGATCAACTCTGTTCTTTTGAGCGTCCATCAGGATCGAAGAGAAGTTAGAGTGACGTGGTCTGAGTGGTGCTGGTCGACGTTCCGCCAAGGGCGAACTTGGCATTAGATTCTCTTTCTCGTTTTCTCCACTCCACCAAGAATGATCATTTGAGTCTTCCGCAAAGTTTTCGCTTCCTCGTGAGGAAAGCGAAGAAAGACAGTCGCGAGTCCTGGGTGTGGTAGGCCTCGCCACAGACCTCGCAGATTTGTGTGGAACTGCGACACGAGAGGAGCCCTGAGTTACATATCGATGGGTGCCTCTGTGCAATAAACGTTTAATGAAAACAGGGCTCTCGTGCAAAACAACGCGTGCAATCTTCCTCTTTTTCTTCACTTGAGCAGGCGTCTTGCGGATCCAGCAGCCAACCATTTCCTCCCACTCCCATTCTCCACTCGGCCGACGATGGTGCACACCGCGGGATCTCTTGCTCTGTCCTGGTAGCCGAACGGCTGGGCTGCTATCGGATGGACCAGCTCCGAATAACCGGCGTTCGGCCTCGTCCACACCATCGATCAAGAGAAGCTTAAATTTCTGAATCTCTTTAGAAGTGCCTTTTGGGGTGCTCTCGAAGACACGAAGGGCGCAGGCCCACAGGGAAGCGTCCAGCTGTAGTAGCTTGTGTGTTTGTAAAGTTGACGAGGACTGCTGTAGCGATGTCATAAAATCTTGTGCGGAACCTCGGTGCATATGTTCAACGAGGCGAGTGAACGTTGTAGGAATAGGTGAAACCTCACGAAGCAGATCCAAGAGACATGGATCATAACCCGCTAGTGAATATGTAATATGAAGGTGCGTGGCGAGTATCGTGATTGCGTCAGGAAGTTCGTCTTGAGAAGGTTGAGGTGAATCACCCAGTCTCAGGGTATGCATTCCGTAGCTTCGACATCGGTCGAGTAACATAATGATAGAGTCAATATCAGAATGGCGAGATTCATCTGCAAGTTCTGCGGAGGTGCTAACGGTGACCGCAAACAACCTGTTCATCCAATCACGCAAGCAGTAGCGAATAGCCGCAATATCTAGGGTTTCCTTCTCCTTCCCCTTTCCAGACCGCGCCGGGCAATAATCATGTATGGTTTCGACTAGAGAATCCATAAGGGTAATAAAAGAGTCGATGTCGGTCACTTCAACGCCGCGAGAGAACCTAGCGACCGCTTTGCATCCCCATAAAGAGACATCTTGTTGAGATAGAGTATCTGCGACCGCTCGCGAGAACGTTGAGACTGAGAATAACGGAATAGCATCAGAAGGCATTATTTCGCTGTTCCCAGATAGCCACCGAGCGAGAAGATCGGAAAGGTAGGAGACATGTCCTAGGTGCGTGATTGGAGGAGGAGATCCGGTGGACAGAAAGGCAATATTAAGGATTATGTCGAGCAAACGACGCGATTCGTGAACTAGACAAAATGACAAGCAGATGTCCAGAAGAGTGCTGATAAGCGTGTGGTGATGTGGACAAATTGCTAGCACAAGGGAAAGTGCATGGGACGCGATGGAATGTCTGCAAGGGAGACAATGAATTTTCGCAGATGAATAACCAAGCCCACTCACCGTCGATAGTAAGTTGGGATGGCGTCATAGATGTCTTCCATAGTTTTCATCAGCTCATCTTCATCTACCACCTCCTCTTGACTGTCGCGCATTCCGATGCCACTGAGCGGAACATTTTCTCCAACTACGAAGCAGCACATAGCTGCCAGGCTGGGGACTGATTCCCCTGGCACCGTTCCGTGCGTGACCTGAAGGACACATCGAAAGGCATCACAAACTGCGTGAATCAAGCGAGAGAGCTCCAGGTCTTCTGCTTTGTCGAAATAGCTGAACCTCCCTCTAATGGCAGAGGACGGTTGAGGAAGGAGGGTAAGTGGTGGAGGGGAATCAAGTGGCCAGACTTGACTATGTGACGAGTATGTGCTGCGAGACGCACTGTGCCGAGCGGTGGACAACAACTTGCTCAAACTCAAGCATTTGTTGCGCAAAGGTCTCAGCAACCGGTTAATGCGTGACGTAGTGAGGTGGCTACCATTGGTATCAGTTGCTGAACAGATTATCATGAGAAGCTACCTCTCTTTGTTGCACTCGAAGAGTTTTGGGAGGGGATGCGGAAATATAATTCACACGAAGCAATTGAAGCGCGTAAGCCGAACTTGATCTACTACTTCCAAATGACGGCTTCCTGGAGCATATACACTACTTAACTTGATAGTTGTGGTAAGTACTGGCACAAACCAGTCGTAACTAAAACGAGATCGAAGGGAGCGCGCTCACTCACAACACCACATCTTAGGCTTCCAGAAAGCATCCTAACTCTGCTTGCAACGAGAACAGACGAATTTCTATACAATAGATGGATGGGTCCTGGTGATGTTCTATTTGGCGCACAGAACTTGGCTGATCCTAAACTAGGTCCAGAATCTAGCAAGTCCAATATCGAAAGGTGCATTAGTTTATTGCTTACGATGAACCAGTCGATGGACAGCGGAGTATGCACTAGAACAGCAGACATTCAACGACGACAACACTTTCACGGTTTGCCTGAACTAAATTTCACCTTCGGCATCCCTTCTCACATCTACAATGGTCCCTACTGCAGGTGCATCCTTCACTGGCGCTAGTGCTGCCTCTGCGTTGTCATGTAGCTCTGGAAAATGTACTTCACAAGAATGCATCATTGGTGATGCAGTGGATGGCGCCGCGCTCACTCTGATCTCAGTGCTCAGTGATGTTTGCTGCTACAGACGAGGTGAGCAGCCACACATTTATGTTTCTGGCCAATCTCTTCGCGCTCAGCTTGTCTATGGAGCGTCTTTCACGGATCATAAACCATGTTCCTGTATCCTTAATGTGCGCACACACACGCACTGCATCATTTACTAGCAACCTCAGAGATACTTCAATTTTGAGTTCGGTTCGATGAAATTACGCTTCAACAATGACCGATCTGTCCATGGCACATATTTTGTGAATGGCAACTTGTCTGAAGCAGATCCTTGCGACTGAGAAGAAGATGCCGGTACGTGTCCTACAAGCAAGCATCCAGGCGTTCGACTTAGACGAAGCCTTACTAGTAGCTATATGCCCTCTCAGATATCTCCTTTCTAACGACAGGACGCTCACAAACACCGCATGTAGTAGAAGAAGGCATTTGAATGCTTCACGCTGCCCTTCTAGACACGATAGATATAGCTGCCTTTGACACTATTGCTCATGAATGTGGCAAGTAATAATTCCATACCCACAAATTTTGCGGCTGAATGATGAGCCTTCAGTTACTCTGCGCTCCAATGTTGCATCTACAGCCTTGTCTAGTTACTGCAGCTGCCCATCATTCGCGCACGCGGTGTTAATATCCGAGAACCATTTGGAGTTCAGTCTATCTGCAGGGCACACCGGACATGCTTGCACTACCAGCGGCGTCATTTACCTGTTACCATTGAGATGTAGATTTGTTTTGCCTAGACATCCTGCTTACAACCCTCGATCACAGGCATTTCTTCATTTCTATCAGAGGCCTTGTAGAAATGAGGAACACCTGATTGAACAACGTGTCACATTGCCCTAGTTATTTGCTTCTTGACTGCACGATCACCACTGTGAAAACTGAGGCCTGAGATGTCAGAACCCTGTCATGACACGTAACACAAGAATTCGACATCCCGGTTGCATCTGAACATGGAAAAAATGTCTTCATCGACGCGCCAGAGCACTGATAATTAATCAGGGCATTTAAAATGATGTATCATTGGGAAAGAAGATCGAGTTGCAAGAAACTCTCCCGAACTTGCTGATAAGTTGTGTCGTTGAGAGGGCCCTCGTAAAGTCCATTGGGAAATTCTCAATTGTATCTCGAGCAGCGAGCGATGCAGAACTCATGGTTGAAACTCAACATAGCGCGCGTACAGTCTGAGCGAGAACAGATGCATAACTTGTGCTATATGATCGGAACTACCTCCGGCACGACCAGTACCTATCAAATTTCACAACTCATCGCTTCGCTCTGCCAGCCACTTCGAGATCGACCTGGCTACACCACTTTAGTATCCGTGGCAGTATATGCCAGGCTGGTCACGAGCCTATGTTAGTCTAACGACGTTCCGAATGTAAATCGTCTAGGGGCTATGCCGACATCGGCTCCTTGTTATTGAGAAATCCATCGCCACTTTGAATGCCAGCTGTCATCAGCTTATTGCAGAAATCATTGGATGTATCAAGAATTGACAGCTGGTTAATTTGGAATATACATCCCTGTGGACCTCTTGAGTACTCTGCAAAATATGAAATATAAGAAGAACTGTGCATGAAATGCGTTGCGAGCCATGCGGAAGGAAAGGGATGTGGAATGTGTCACTGGTTGTATGTTCGAAAAGCAACTTGAACTTCATATCATGACGGATAGGTTCTTCTCACATAACCTGAAGAGTAATATTCAGCACATGGTATAAAAACCTGTCTTCCTGCTGTTTCATTCAGATCAATTTGACCCCATATCACATTCTCACAAACAATGCATCTCTCCTTTGATAGCACTAGTATCTGCCAGTCCCATCATTGACATTACCAACAACTGTCCTCAAGAGTGCGGTTGGCACACTTGCTGCCCTGGGCAAACGTGTCAGACACTGGTCTCAATGGAGACTGTGAGTGTATAACTATTTTGCGTCTTGGATTTAACCACACGACTCACCGGCGTGATAGGTTTCATTCGTGTGTCAGTGAACTACAGTGAGTCCTAGTCATGTTTCTACTTCAATCAGCATCGATGCACTGACTCATCAGTAAACTATAAATTTCCCACACATCATAAAAATGATGTAGTGCCCTAGCCTCTTGCACTTGTATCTCCGTGACGGGTATGGGGTAAGAGTGGCATCAGCTGCATCTATCAAGTTTTATTCTATGGTTTCTAGGCACAGGTATCATTCTGACAATGTTGTCTGCGAGCCTTCGACCACTGTTTTCATGAGGTTTCTACAAGGAGCACCTGATTGAACTGTCTGATTGCCCTACTTTCTTGCGTCTTGTTCGATCATCGCATGACCATCACCATGAAGACTTAGGACCTCTTCAAGACACGTAGCACAAGAATACGATATTTCGGTTTCATCCAGATGGTCCGAACATGGAAAAAATTCCTTCGTCGAGTCCGATGTTGGTTATTCTATAAGTATTCACAGCATGGAATCCACGACACTGCAGTTTACTATATCAGCTAGGCCGCCATCAGTTTCTGTACCTGCAGGTGTAGACGAATCTTTGATCATACAATCAAGCACGCTCGATTGCGCATTCCGAGCACCAATAGCATCTTGTGAGGTGGTCCAACGATGCAAATGCAAATCACTCAGGGTCTGGCACGGCATTCGCTCCGAGTCCTTTCTATTGAAAAGTCCGTTGGCACTCAGAACGTCAGCTGGCATCACTTGTTGCAGAAAATATTGGACGTGCGAGAAATTGACGGCTCGTTAATTTGGAAGAGACGTGACTGCATACTCCAAAGAGGTGGAATTAGGATGCTCCGCTTCAACAATAAGTACCTCTTCTATGATATCCGTGTCCCGTTTTATCATTTTATAATTCCTCGCTCTGCAAACCTTAAGACTATCCATCCAATGATTATTGAGGAAATAGTCACCAGTTTTTGTAACAGCCAAAGTGAGTTGTACACACAAGATATGAAACGTAAGGGGGATTGCGGAATGAAGTGTATTGTAAATCTCGAGGGCATGAACCATCACACTGAAGGAAAGAAATATCATAATTTAATGTTATGAACGTGTCACTAGTTGCTTGTTCGATAAGGGACTCCAAATGGATATGTTCTTCCTGCATCACCCGGACTATGAAGAATAATATTCAGCGCATAGTATAAAAAGTCGCTTTCCTAGCACTGTCTCATTCAGATCGATTTAAACCCATATCACATCCTCACAAGCAATGCATTTCTCCTCTATCCTCGCCGTTGCTTCCTTGATAGCACTAGTATCTGCCAGTCCCACCAACATTGATAGTACCACAGGGTGTCCTTCATTGTGCACGTCTCAAAGCTGCTGCCCTACGCAGAAATGTATCATGGAGGGCCTGATATATGTGAGTATAAGTATTTTGCGTCTTGGATCTAACAGCACGACTCACCGACGTGGTAGCCCATCTGGACGTGTGTATAGGACGAATGAGTGCCGTGTTGTGACAGTGAACTACGGTGAGCCGTGTTTCTACTTCAATTGACATCTGTGCAAAAGATGGCTGATGGCACGACATAAGAATTACTGGTAGTTTGATGTTGAGTTCACTAATGCCGCTCGAGCAATGGAGATTTTGGAATAGGGGAAATCTTAAATACTTGAATATATAAAATATGACTGAAGTGCTTACGATTTTTGCAGTCTCGTTGTGAACATAAAAGCCCACTCCCCTCATAAGCGCTGTTTACTGGTTATGGATGCATTCTCAGCCTGCACCGGCCCACTGGGATGTGTCACGACCCCGCTAGATGGCGGTACAAACTACGAAAGCTTAAGATCCAGAAATATGAAATGGCAGTTGGCCGCCATGAGCTGTCCATGTCCTTCCAATCATGGATGTCTGGACAACGAAAAGATATAGATCTGCAAAGGGAAGTAGTACTACAAAGGCCATTATTATTGGAGTTTCGCTCATACCGCTGGACAACTACTTCTGATATGGTTAAATCAAGCGGTCGTAAGAAAAATTATAAATCAAAACTCGGAAACCAGAAATAAAATTAAGGAGCTCGGAATCAAAGACTACATCGCAAAATGTCGAGAGAAGTCATTCGGGAATTCGTAGACAATGTCGATGCTTTAATCAACATCGTGAAGAACACAGGCATTGATCTCGGGGTCAAGTGCTCTCAGCCTCGTAAAAACTGTAACAGCAGGAATAGTTGCAAAAGACTTGAATGTCTACGGAGGGATTTGAAGGAGATAACCTAAAACAGTTGAAAGGAGAAGAAGGATATGTGGGCGTGCGGAGTATGGTGCGGAAGACAGAATATACCAGTTGCACAATCTCCAAAATATTCAAGCTCGAGGAAAGACGAAAAAACTAGATGTGATCATTACTCACTGGACCGCCGCAGTCGCATCCATACTCCAATTCACACCACATCCGTAATGGATTAAGTCACCGCGCAATCTCTATTGTGTGCTTGTACCCACATTAGACGATTGCAAGCAAAGGCTTCATCAATCCACGCCTATATCTCGAAGGAAAGGCCAGTCTACGCAGAGTGGATGTGCTGATGAAATATGTCGTGCGAGAATTTAAGATCAGTGCGGATCCGTTCAAGTTGGGAGATCTTGATTGCAGCAACGAGAATAAAAGGAGGTCCTCACAAGCTCAGAAGCATAGTGGATAATGAAGTATTGCAATGGAACTCCAGCGCAACAAAAACCTTGGGGGAGACGACAATAGGATGCAAGAACTTATGCACTCGGAGGGAAACAAAGATGAGATCATCTCGTTGATGTTTGTATCTGCTTGAAGAGGAGGGAATGGTTTGAGAATGTGAGAGGCTGGATAACTTGGACGAGAATGGGTTGAGGGTGAATGGCGCCATAGAAGTAAGTGGCCACTGGCAAAGTATGGCAAAAGATGTCGACGAATGAGAAAAGCGGCAAATGGTATTATAAACACCATAATGATATGTGTAGGTTCTGCTACAACTTGAATCCAGATGGTGCGAGCATGTAAATCATCTAGATCTTAGACATTGCTGGTCACAGCCCACCAATTGTGAATCAGAGGAGAGTGGGTGCCATCCGAGCTTCTATATTTCGGTGGAGACTCCGTCGAGACCGTATTATCGTGGATGCATAGTATGCGTTTGGGTGTCCCTGCGGTGGCAGCCGAGCATAGTACCAAGTGCCTTTAATTACATAATTTACATAAACTGACGACTACATAACTTGAACATATAGTCAAGTAGAACCCACCCATGTGACCGGAAATCCATAGTACAAGTCAAGTACAAGTAACGATGCTAACAACATATAACTAGGGTGTCTGGGTATTGTAAAATGATTAAGTTAAAAAGTGGGAAGAAAGAGGGCAGCAGAAGAACGGTGAGAAGAATCCTAACATATTCTGAATGATCAAGGATCGCTGTCACTTGCATTACTGTCGGACTCATCGTTGCCCCAGACAGCAAAAGCGCGGGGATGATGTTGGTCGTAATCCCTCGAATCTACTCGGTGATGATTTCTATGACCCGAGAGTGTATCTGTGATGGTGGGAGTCTGAAGATTGTCGTCGAATTCCCTGTCTTTGGGAATACGACTACGACCACTTGAATATTGCTCCCGAGAATGAATATCATCCCGAGCACCACGTTGAGCTACATCCATAGTCGACAACGAGTCATCTGAAGAATTTGAAAGTGCGGGGGAAGGCGTCCTTAATTGATGGTCCATGTGGTAAGGATTGATATGAGGCGGACGATGTGCAGGTCCGGCGAACCGTCCTGGAGTATCAACACCAGAACGCAACCCCGACCTTGAACGCGAACGTGATTTGGCCGATCGAGATGATTTGAGGTGACGTCCTTGAGTGAGTGCAAGCGCAGCCAATTGCGGTGTTGAGACCAAATCTTCATCTGTCTGGGAGTCCATTTCCTCACGAGCTTTTGTAATACCGACTGAAGCATCTGTAGCATTTAACCCGTTCGGAATGTGGGTACCAGTGCGTCCAATGGTGGAAGCCTCGGGAGAAGAGTCATCGATATCAAATTTGTCATCTTCATCGTCAGACGTCTCATCTTCCTCTTCATCCTCCAAAATTTCATCGATTATATCATCCTGCTTCATACTTTTAGGCCTCCTCGATTTCCCCGTGCTGGATTTCTGTGACGGGCCCTCTTCAACTACGACAAACGATTTTTGACGCTCGCGTTCATTCCATTTTAGGGTTCGTGAGATGGCATGGAACCAATCAGTCGACTGTTTATCCGCGCAAACAGTCGGGAAAGGGTATTTGGAAGCAGTTATTTTGATATGGTCGCCCTCTGCAAAAGAAGTAAGCAACTGAACGAAAAGTGGTATCTAATGACAAACGTTGCAGTTCCACACGGCCCCGGCCGTCGAAAGAGACCCAAGCTGTGCTACGAGAATTATATGGGACACATATGCGAAGCTCCATACTGTCGGGAAGAAGCATGGGACGGAACGATAGTGTGTGAGGGCAGATAGGACTGATAAGTATTGCAGGTATCTCGGGGTGAACCAATGACCCTCCAGCAGATAACTACACCAAGAAAAGAGTTATATCGGTGACCAATTAGTGATCGTGTGAATCTTACCGAATAAGCAGTAGAACCGGTGGGCGTGGCTACACAAAGCCCATCGGCTTGCACGGTTGTCATATGGTGTTCGTCGCCTTCAGAATGATAAATATATATGCCCAAAATATCAGAGAAGGCAACGCACCAAATAATTCAAGCAAGCTGACATAGGGACTGGGTCCCCGGTCTACCACAAGATCATTGATGACCTCAAACGTCTCGACTGGCCTTGTGGTAAAGCACATGATCTCTTTGTCCTTCGAACACTTGCCACCCTCCGAGGTGGTAAATCCGCCAGACCAACCACCTTCGAGTGCCTCCCATCCTCCTTTGTTTACGTCCTTCATCATGATTTCACCTGTTTCACCCTTTTTCACGGCCTTGCGGCACTTTCCCTTGTCGAATACAGCACGGTAGACGGTACAAGTGAATCGCATGCGTAGGTTGACACGAATACCCGAGTCGATGGCTGAGTCTACAACCGCTTGATAGTCAGCGAAGTCAAAATTAGTGAGAAAGCCGAGGGAGCCGAGTGCGAAAGAGAGAACGGGAGGAACAATTCGCTGAAAGAGCCATGACGTGAAAAGAACAGTGCCATCTCCTCCGAGCTAAGTATTGAAATAAGTGGACTCGACGAGACACGTTAGGTGGAACGCTTACCGTAATGACAAAATCGAACAGATGTGGACTATTTCTGCACATGTCACTAGTCCAGTATCGTAGCTGACCCTCCTGGGGAGTGTTGAAATCATCTTGATGAGCGGATGACGATGTCAAGGAAGAGAGAGAATTGCTGCTGGACGACCGTCTTCGTGGGAGAGGCTCAAACAATTCTGGATGATCTCTCTGTAAGCCTTGGGCGTCAAACCTCTTGGATTTGCGCAGTTGATGATCTACATAGCTGGCGAAGTCCTCGTAAAACGCCCTGAATAATACACTGAACTCAAAACTCACACAATAAGGCCTCGACCCCCTTGGCGATGTTTGAGCATCAGGTATAATGCAAGCTCGCGTGTTAGGTTGATAAGGCGGTTATCCCTGGCCTTGGTTACGATGAGGACGCTCTGGATATTGGATTTTATTCGAGCACGCCCTGAAGGAACATGATTGTTGAGTGAATGGAAAAGTCTGAGAATAAGAACAGTACTCACCGAGTTGCTTGCTCATTTCACGAACCCCGACCGCCGTCTCTGCCAGCTGTTTCGTCAGATTGCCGCCATATGTATCGCCATCGTCATCTTCTGAGAGCTCATCAGCGTAAGGAAATTCAAGGTGGTGTTGAGGCTGATGATGTTGCTGAAGAGCCTTGGCGACACCGACGTCCGATCCTAGTACCTCTTTATCCTTTGCATGAACATCAAGCCAGTCCTGTACTGATGCTCCTTTATCTAGGTGTGAATGCACAAAGCAAGGTGATTTTGCAGACAGATTCCTGTGATCGACAGGCATTGTTAACGGTGAACTGGGACTGCAGCTTGCGCTCAAGCTTGAAGTTGATCTGGACGATTCGGTAGATTGAGGTGCCTCAAAGAGGTCATGGTGAATTGGCGCTGTGGGATTATCACCTGGACTTAGCCGTTGGGCCACTGCCTTTCCCGAAGGTGGCTGTTGCTCTACCACAATGTCATGATGCCATATGATGTTTGTATGCAGTGACGACAACGACGACAACAGTGATAGCCGACTGTTTTTTCTCGATAACGAGGGTCGAATCACGTTTTCTGTAGGCATGCCGTCCGCTCGTGCGTCTGCTGGCGAAATTGGTGGAGTGGAATACGTCTCAATCTCTTCAGACATTTCCGAGTCAGGCTGCCAGATATACTGTGGTCGTTCCTCGGTTATTATTGGGAAACGCAGCTGGGAAGTTAGTATCTCCTCTCATTCCCAAATGTCTTTACATTTATATTTGTCCGCTTCAGGTTTTCAGGCCTCGGTCTCGATAAAAGTCTCCCAGACGACTCAGATGCAGCCACCTTGATGGCTGATACGTCTCTCAATGGCACTGTCTATTATAACGCACAATGATTTTCATTTCCGGCCCTGCCGAGCATCGCCATTGGACATACGACATCATTTTACACGACAAACGTGTAGTCTGTTCTTCTCACAACCGTCCTGACCTCTGGGACCCTTCACACCTAAATCTGGCACTACACATTAGACGAGGCATCTCTTCCCATATAAGCATCGTACGAGGAACATTTGCATGTGCGCAGTCGTCCCTGTTTGGTTTCCAGAGTTGCCCAAACTCCAGGGACACCGGGGCTGTCCGTTTGATCATCTCTTGTCAACGTGGTTTTCCTGTGTGATGTAAGCGCACTGGCTTACTAGAATTCGCATAATGCTGTCTGAGGTACTAAAACACAAGCTTTCAGTATCACTGCATTTTGGCGGAACAAGTCATGTGGATGTGACTCAGTGACATTTGATCATCAACACTCATTGCAGTCTAATCGCATCATGATTGCGTAGGTTTATTAACGCCCCACAGACCTGGGCACTGCGGCCAGGCGCTTCGTAGGTGCCTAAAGCGGCCTGGCTAGATTTCTATACTAATAGCACCCAATTGACTTTCCCGGACAACTCAGCAACGCTCGCCCACGATTTCCAAAGTCCAGATGGCCATATTGTCATAGCAAAGTCAACGATTATACCTCTGGATGTTGCGGCCTCTGAAGTCTCAAGATTGTGGGTGAAGAATTGCAATTGGCGAACGGACTTTTTCTCTCAGAATAATCATTCTCATCAACGCACATGAGCACACACAAGTCCTCCACCGTTATGTGATTTCAACGTTTGGGTAGTATGTGTAATAACGCCATAGCAACCGAGTACGCTACTGAATCGCGAAAAAGACCTTAAAAGAACACTGTACCCCGCAAAACAAATCTCTCCAGATTTCTGTAATCTGGTCGGTCTTTGGCTACTGCCCAGAGCCAGATATCCAGTTCGGGCGATGTGATATCTTTTACCCATGTTTTCTCTCCACTGTGTTGTCCATCACCCCTTGCATATTGCACAATTTTCTCGCAGGCGTGTACGGCAGCCGCACGTAAAACATAGGCTTGGTCTATCGTGAGTATAGGACCATCCTTCGGGGGTGTTTTCTTGGTATCTTGCACAAGCACTTGTGGAACCTCAGGAGGTAAAGCCAAGAGTTTGTTGATTCTATCTTCGCTCTCGGCACCAGGGAACAATTTATCAAGTCCGTGAGATGTTGCGCCGGCCAGGTCCAAAACTCCGAAATGGACCAAAAGGGACGGTAAAACATTATCGGTGAACACGGGTGCCTGAGCTGTGCTGGGGATGGGAAACGGTAGCGAAGAACCAAAACGAATCTTCACTGCATGGATAAGGAAAAGTGCCTTTTTGAAGCAGTACACCGCTTCGAAGATTTGATGAGCAAAAGAACAGTTTTGGTTATGATCTACCGCCTACTCACGTTTTCCGTTAACAACTGCCATATCGCGGAAAGCCGGTATAGCTCTCACCAACTAGTTCGAAATACTTGATTATTCGATGCTTGCGCAGTGTAAAAAAAATCGCGGCCTACCCTCTCTAGCACGATTCCAAGACTTGCGCTAGGATCAGCTTTTGCCCCTTCCTTCAAGCTCTCCAAAACAAAGCCTCCTAATTCCGAGTATCCTGAAGTGTCCAAGATCTGACCCGTCTCGGTTAGGGTTGAGCTGATCAGTTGCACCAGCTCATATATTGGTCCACCGAGTTCTCCGACCGTGACACCAGGAATCTTTTCATGAGGTCGCTCGACGTGGATCTTAACACCCATGTGTTGTGCGACTTGCTGCTCACTCATTGTCTTCATGCCTTTCGCGGAAAGTAAATCTCCCTGTCCTGTTGCGGAAGAGAGATAAAGAGAAAATGTGAACGCCCGTATATTATCCCATGCACCTCGTCCTGTCTGTTCGTGAAGTGGCACTCGATAGCCGGAAGCGAAGTTGAGGAGAGAAAGGACAGATAAGAAGTTTAACTCTGATAAGAGTGAGGGGAACTTGAGTGGGAACGCAAGCCCATGAGAGCCTGAGACACGATGAAACGAGGATCGAAAGGACGGAGATTCCAAGAGGCGTCTGATAGCAGCATCTTCGACCTAACGAATCAACCAGTCAAAGGCTGTTCTCAGAAAGAAATTCATAGCAGATCGACGGGATAGATTGCAAGGATAACAGATAGATATACTAGTAGATGAAGCAAAACACAAAGACAAGCTGAATGCGGAGGAGAAATATGTACTTGTCAAAAACTCACCTTGATATGTGCATCTATGGTCACGATCCGGCAAGACTCTTTTATGGATGAGACGAACGCCCCAGACGAGGGGAAATCAGGTTCCATGGGATGTAAACCGCTGTGCGTCTCATGTATATGCAAGACTAGAAGTGCAAAACGACGGAAACTACCGTATAATGATAAGACCAAAAGATTTGATCCAATCGCAGCTCAGCTGATCGCAATCCGAATCGACACTGTTAATCCGCAGTGGATTTTTATACGTTGAGAAAAATATGATCAGTAAAAAGCAACTGTGTCAAATATAAGAGAGGCCTGCTGAGGACCCACTGGCGAGCGGACGGGGTCCTGAGCGATGATTTCACTTGAAAGTTTGAATCATTCATATTACTATAATATTGATTTTAGGAGCGCTAAGTTGTGGTTCCTTTGATCAATGCCTGACACAAAACACGTTGTCCTTTCTCGATGTCTCGCGAAGAGGCTGAGTCAAGCACATCAAGAAGACGGACTCGGAGATGCGTGAAAGGAGAATTGCTATTAGATTCACCGCGCACAAGTTGCACGAACATATTATGCATGATGGGATCTACCACTGCACAGGATCATTGGGGTGAGCAGCCCAGGATGTCCCCCTGGTTGCACCGTACTAGAGTACAACCAGAGCTACTACGTTCGAGTGCGGAGTTTGAAACCGGATTGTTTCCAACAACCATCATGATCGTAGCACGTCCGCTAAGACAAACGCATTGCAAAATGCAAATGATGTCGCGCGCGTTGTCTGCTACATCAGGGATAGCCACAGGTCAGTAAAATATTGACAAGCGTGTCGTCAGGTTCAAAAGTCATGCAGATATCCGCCAACAACTGTTGTCCGGAGTCAAGACCGCTATGAAGGTGACTGTCCTGTCAAAACGATTGATTCACCTGCCAATTAAGCACCTAAATAGACCAAGGACTCGATAACTTCCACGACTATACGCGTGAGCGTTTAGGTTCTAACTTCTGACGTGCCCAATGACACACTGCGCAGTCCATTCTCTCGGAAGTTTACGCTGCTGACAAGTCAGCTGGTTCACCCGTGTCAGCTTCCGCTATAACCGCGATCCTACGAAAAGCCACCTTACGACGAGTTGGTCCAGAATTTCATTCATTGATATTGCTCATCACCTGATTTGTTTTCTTGCGCAGCGTGACTCTGCCATTCAGTTCATCGGTGCTTCCAGACCGGATTTAGCTCAAAAAGAACATCGCGAAGCAGACATTCTTGCAGCTTTTCTACCCTCTTTGATGTCAGAAGCGGATATCGACCGCATTCTCAACGAGGTGATCGCTGAAACAACACTTGATGGCGATTCCCGCAAAATCCTTGGGCAAGTATACAAGACCTTCTACTCTAAAGTAGATAGATCACATGTAGACACCACCACTGTAAAGCGCAAGGCTGAAGCGCTCTTGTTGAACATTTGAATAAGTACCAACTTGAATTAATTAAACCAAGTATACAACTCGACGGTATAACAACGGTGCAAGCGTGCTACGTGGCAGACTCTTCAGTAGCAGAGGGTGGTGAGGTATGCGACTGGCTAACAGTTGAGGGCGTGTTGCTGGAAACTGGTAAGGCGCTTCGTACTCGCGTGAGATCCTCCACACAACGATTGACTGCGACCGAAACTCCTTCGAGTATCCTCAGTCTTTCATCAATAGCTTCTCGAGTAACCTGATCCATGAGCATTAGCTGCTCGTCTGTTAGATTGGGTGGCAGCCCATGTAGTGGCGTCTGAATGGCACCCACGGCCACGGAAGCGCTAGGATTTGGCGGAGGTACAATATTACCACTCAAGGATGGTGAGAATGGCTGCCACAAGTGAGTGTGGGATGGGTCAACGCCTTGTAATGTCCCTATTCGGGAGGGAATTTCATGGACGTGTAATGGGATGAAAGAAGGGACTGCCAATTCTGAATTTGGCATGGCAGAAGAACCACTGGCATCAGAAGTTGATACGTTCGGCGCCTCTCCAGAGTCAGGCTTGATAGCGGGTGTGTCATTGGATAATGCAGGTGCCTCATCATGAGGTCTTCGGATATTCTCGTGTCCAATTCCTTGCGATGCGGCGGCGGCGGCATCTCGGGGATTCAGCCGTGGATCACCTGTGATGGCCGAGGCTTGATTTAAGGCGCCCGAAGGCTCATCACCAAACCATCGGGGATCCATACCCCACTGACGCCATTGTCCATCAAGGCCTGTGAATCCAGGAAAGCGAGGCACAGGCTGAGGGGTAGCCGTAGCCGTAGCTTGAGATGCATCCCGTGAAGGTGGCGGACCCTGGTACTGGATGTTATATTGAATAACAACGCCCGGTGCCTGCCCGGGCAACCACCCCTGAGCAACTGCATTTGGCGGGGGTTGTTGATTATTAACATTGTGAGGTGCTTGTGGTTGATTTCCCTGGGCTACCAGATTGCCGAAATTCATTGGTAGACCAGGGATTACTCCAACCTGAGCGCCAGCAGCACGCTGCTGTTCTTGCGCAGGATTCTCAAGAACGCTACGTCGGCTGCGAAGAGAATACACCATGAATAATCTCGAGATTCCGCAACACAAATTAACGCACCAAGTAGGGCAGCTTTGCTGACGTTCAAGCCAGGATCGAAGACAATAGAAATGGAAAACATGGCCGCACGGGAGCTTTTTTGGGGTGGTGTTGGGGCCATCAGAACTCTGTTGTGCAGGGTTCGAGCCTGAATCCCCACCCTGATTCCCAGAGATGCCATGAACGAACATCTCCTCGCGGCAGATAATGCACGTTCGATCAGACATAGCCGACATTTCTTCTTCGCTTGCGTCAGGGTAGCGCTCATCCATGTTGCGTGTGGCAGCTCTATATCGAACAAGCGCGCGCAGGCGCGTCACAAATGAGCGCCCAGTAAGATAAACATCTCGGATGATGTTCAGCGGCAATCCATAGAACGCCACGATAAGGAGGAAGAATAGAAGGTATGTAGTGAGTTTTAGAAAATCTGAGGAAAAGTTTACAAAGATTTCGGAATCGATATGGATATTGCGTACCAGTAACCAATTCGATATAGAACACCCACATGCTTTTGTTCTGCCACTGAGGGGCGTTCTCGCCACCCCTTTGCCTTGCGCGTCTCAAATCAATGACACAAACGCAATACTTTGCCGTAGTGTTCATCGCACTCGCCATCAAGATGGCGTACTGAAATGGATATTAAATATAACTTAATGGGACATGCAGAACACGCGCCTCGCTTGCAAACATCATCATGCCCCCTATGCCGTTTTTCAGTGTACTTTCAACCGCAACCGCAAACATAACTAGATCTGTGCACCAAAGTATGACAAAAAGAGTGGTCATTCGAATATGAAAAAGTGTGGGTGGGCCGGGAAATGGGCGTTGGTCCATCTAGATTATGACTTAGTGCACTGCGACACTAGGCGAAGTAGGACACATACCCACTCAATTCGGTCCGAAGCAAGCCAGTGAAATGACCTGACAAACAGCAAAAAGCCGAACATCAAAGCAAACGGGATATCAAAGTCATCCCGGAAGATTGTGAATGCCAGCAAAGATTCTGTGACGAAAAACCATAGACGGTCATAAAGCCGCTAGTAGTAATTGAGCGCAGAATCGAGCATCAAAGTAATAAAAGCTACCTCCACCTCCTGAGGACGAAGAGCACCGAAGAATATTTGTCGCACGAGCTGCCCACACAGCAATGCAATAAGAAGGCCGAAATTTGCGAGTATCTGAAAGTTGTTTTAATACACCATGAATCACAATTAATACATCGCGCACCAATACACTTCTATTACTCTTTGAAAGATAGACTGCCACAGAATAGAAATTACTGTGATACCGAAGTGCATTTATGATGGTTGCCGAGACTGCAATTGTTGACACTAGAGCATAGAGCAGAACTTTGTGATAACTGAATGAAGCCACGATTGGGTGAGCTCGCTGCCGTAGAAAACCGTTGAGAGGCATTGTTGTAAGGGAGGACAGTGGAGCTCAACAGAATATTGTTCAACTGTCGACTTGGATGAGAACTAGTGCTGAATTATGCATTGCGTGTCATAAACTCGACGAGTGTTCTCACGGTCACGTCACCAGCGTCAGATAAAGCGTAGACGCGGCCAAAGCCGCCAAATGTTGATTCGTTCCCGCTCACACTTCGAATCTGGAGATCTTACTATGCTCCACTAATCTATCGCCTATTACAAAAGACCACCTTATGCGATAGAGATTCACCGCTAACTCTGGCACATCGCGGGAATGAGGGTTCAGCATGCTGGCATGTCTTGAGTAATGAACGTAAGTCGGATCGTGTTCCTGACAAAAAATCGAATAGATCATAGAGAGTCTAGTCACTGCAAGCAGATATAGGGATGCACGGATTGGTGGTGAGCAATAGTATCTATCAGCGCTCCTTGGAAATTCAAATTCCAAATGAACAATTGCTGTGTAATAATACTACTGGACTGGCCATAACCTGTCTCGTTCCTTCGAATTCGTGATTTGTATTTTCTCATGCTAAACAGGGTTGATATAAAATCGACAGATGTTGACATTGGCTTCCATCACCATCACCTGCAAAACATCTTAAAATCGCCCCCCTCCCCTTGCACGACTAAAACTTAAAAAGGAGTGAGTGGTCCTTGAATAAAATTCTGCATATTCATTACTAAGGGCATCATGCTAGCCATGCCTGAACTTCATAAACGCCAGGGTCCTGGCAAATTTGCTGATACAGGCCCTCAGAATGTTCTCCCCCACAAGATTACTTCTCTATTGCCTTCGGTGCTGTCTGGATTTGGCTATTCTCGTCCAGTAATCCTGATATTTCTTGCTGTCTTTGCGGCGTGGTTCCTATCCTCCGAGGAAACTTCGTCACTCTCACATTCATACGCAATTTGCTCTTCATCGGGTGCTCGTGTTTACACTGTGGATCATGTCGTGCCAAACGTCCAGTGCCTTGTTGTGGATGGGTCTTTAATACTAGACATCGGTTCCTTGGGTATGTCAAAATAAGCACAAGCCGAACACAAGCAGCCGAATTGAACTCATCCGTGGTTTTATCTCACTAGATGATGTAATGGCGCGTTGGGTTGCCAGAGGTCGCCTTCGTTCTTCTCTTCAAATACGTTATTTGGACAAATCTTCGATCGTAGTTCCGGGGCTTAGTGGTAAGCTACAAGTAAAGAAACAATTATCTATTAAACCCTTCAGATTCACATGCACACATTCTCGAATACGGTGCAAGTAGGCAACTTCTTCTTACAAATGCCAAGACGATCAAAGGTTTGCACAAGAATAACTTGTTCCGGGTGCGATCTGAGTAGTATAACCGCAATTCAGACACAGTTGCACTCGTCCGACAATATATTTTGGACAATGATGACATACTCAATGACTCTTCAAAATTTATTGAGGGTTGGGGATGGGACCACACTTCTTGGCCAGTGGAAGAATGGCCAACCTGGGTGAGCGTCTTAAAACCACGCGCTACACAAGTCTAGAGTTCAGTGCTTTTCAGGACGATCTAGAGATGGACCCGATAGTCCGCGGCCGGCCAATCATCCTACAAAGCAAGGACGCTCATGCATTATGGATCTCGAAGAAGACTTATGCATTAAACTCTCCGTGGCCATCGGAAGTAGAAGGTGGTGTCGTCATCAAGGATTCATTTGGCGATCCAACCGGTTTTGTTCTTTCTTTGCGGAGATATGGCTTAAAATAACTTATACCAATCTTCAGGTGTTCTTCTTGACAATGCTCAGGACCTTGTGGAGATACCAGCTCCGACTGAACAGGACTTGTTGAGGCGTTTCAATACTGCAGTCAATGATGCCTTGTCTTATGGTTTGACCTCCATCCACGATGCGGGGCTCAAACCTATTTCGCTCGAGTTTTTCAGAAGGTTTACTAAACGTCCTGGTGTAAAAGCACATTTGACGTTATTCACACAGGCAGGCGGCGGCAGGAAATCTTCCTGTAAGTGCTCGAGGATACCGTCACCGTGTGATTCACAACAGCCCATAGATTCGAATTTATGGGATGAGATATTTCGAGGAAAACGGTCCTTATTGGGGAAATATCTCAAAACCTATCATCAATGCAGGGGATGGCAGGCTAAATGCTCGCAGTGTCAAGATCTTTGCTGACGGTAAAATGGTGGTGATAGTATTTAGCTGTAAGACTAACTAGTTATTCAGGTGCTTTACGCTCTGGTGGAGCAGCGGTGAGAAGCTCCTTAGTCATGTATGTTTTTTTCTTGATGTCCCTCAGCTCAACGAGCCATATTGCGATCATCCCCACACGAAAGGATTCATGCGTTTGGACGCCAAAGTTTTGGCTGATGTTGTACCCAAATTTTTAAGAGATGGATGGCAGGTTGTAAGTGCCGGTGACCGCAAGAAAAACATATCTCTCATTTGCTTTTATCCGGAAGAACGTTCATGCAATTGGGGATTATGCCAACGGTGTGGTTCTGGACACATTCGAGACGGCCTTGAAGGACGTAAATGTAACTGCCCTCAGACCTCGCCTAGAACATGCTCAAATCCTCACAAAAACCGACCTGAAACGTGTCGGAAAGCTCGGAGGTGAGTATTCTAGTTTCCTTGATGTCAATCGAAGTGGAATTGTCATTATTTAGTTATTTCAAGCATTCAACCTACGCATGCGTACGTTAAATTATTCATCCGAACGTATTTGGTAATGACATAGGCGGAATAGTATCAGTGATATGTGGTTTGCAGAAGAACGCCTTGTGAGTTCATAGGAATTATGGCTACTGGCGTTTACAGGTGTATGTCGCTTTCTAGGGCTCTGAGCGAGTAAAGGGTTTATATGCCTTCCGCTCCTTACTTGATCATGGCTCTCGACTTGCCTTTGGCTCTGACTTCCCAGTGGAGGACATGAACCCGCTCTCTGGGTTCTATGCAGCCATTACGAGACTGTCTCCTGAAGGACAATCACCCAGCGGCCCGTCGGGATGGTATGACTTTCTCGTCCAAAAACTCCTCATTCAACTCATGTGTATTTCGCAGGTTTCCAGAACAGCGGTTGACTCGCATGGAATCCTTAAGAGGTACTTCACGAGGGCACTCGGGTACGAGCGTTACTGATGTGGAAAATAATCAATAGGCATGACGATCGATGCTGCATATGCTTCGTTTACCGAAGACAGCCTGGGTTCTCTTGTTCCTGGAAAACGGGCGGACTACGTGGTGCTATCACAAGACATCATGACTATTCCTGTTGATCAGATTTTAAGCACCAAAGTTCAGGCTACGGTGATTGATGGACGTCTTGCCTTTGGACAGGTTTAAGACATAGGTAGTGGATGGAGGTATGCTAGGGACCAACCAAAAATAGTCTGGGAGTTCTGCTCCCTTGCTTACCCCCAATTAGATACTATTTTGCTTCGCTTTCGCTTTCGATGTTTTTGTTTTGCTTTTTTTGTCGTGCAATCATGTTTGTCCATATATGATATTCGGAAACAACCGAAGACAATTACTATGTATATGACCCGCAACGCGTCTCGACACGTCTCGATATTTACCACTTACTGACAAAATTCTGGAACGCCTTCTGGCATCATCATTAAGTCAAGGCTTTCGTTCACTAATTTCATGCCTGCGTATCAGTTGCCACTTACGGGCGAGAAACGAAAGCTGCCACTCGATACTTCCAGCAGGAAGAAAGTCGCGATTGAGAATACACTCGGAGGTCCCTCGACGTGTCGTGCAAGCGGTAGTAATGGAGGAGAGGAGTATTGGATGATTCAATGGTATGTGCGCGTTCCAGTTCGAGTCCTTCATGCTCACCCAAAGGTACTAGGAGATACCCCCAGTACAAGAAACACAAAACATGGGATGGGGATGCCGTCCTGGTTCTCACAGGCATCCGAGGGTCCATGTTCGACCTAGAAGGAAAGATGTACGTTTTCTTTTCTGAACGAGAAAACTGAGCATTAAGGTTAATATATATTGTCGCGCCCACAGAATGGGTGCTGGGTCCTTAAATGCGCCCAAGGCTGAGGAAAATGGAGAGTATCAATTTGGAGGGAAAGAGATCAGGATCGATCATCCAATTTCTCGTGGAGAATACTTATCTGGAAAGTGCTATGGTCAAGGAAGCATGCCGTCTCCTGCGACCACTGGCAACAACTCCGTGAAATCCTCCTTGCGTGTCACTCCTTTACCATCAATGAAGATGAATATACCTTACAAGACGCCATTGAAAGCCATAGACAAAAAGGCTATTGATCTTCATCCTGTCAATCTTCTGTCCACACGGGACCTCCCCACCACAGGCTCTTTGAGAGCAAATGTGCCAGCCACTTATTGGACAGCTAACTGGTGAGTAAGGAGTGAGGATATCGCATATATGCTGACTTTCGTAGGCGGAAGCCGCAGAACAAGAAGCACAAGACCTGGGATGGTGATGCATTCGTTAGCCATATCGGTGACAGACTCACTGTGATATCAGAAAAGGGGAAAATGTGAGTAGGATTCCTTTTTTCGTCGGCTACCTCTCACTGAATGGTCATCACAGACTTGGCCGTAAGGAATGGGACGGACTCGTTCTACATAGCGGGTACAGCTTCAGCGCCGGTGGCAAACAAATCGAGTTAGACTCGCAAGTACTAGCATCGCGAATGCCTTCCATCAATGGGGTGGAAGATGCAATGCCGGAACTGGAGGAAGATGTGTCGGCAGTGTTAGCCCCGCCCTCACCATCCAAGCCCTCGTTTCTGCTTCACGTGAAGGGTGCTCTCCCTGGCAAAGAGAATAATATTACAGTTGCATCTCCAAGTGCTTCAAAGGCATTCGTTCCCCCCGCGTCATTTTATGGCCAGAGGCCAAATAAAAAGCCCGATGGACCGTTGTAAGTTCCTTCAGCTTCTTATTGACGTGGGTCATAAATCGGCTAGACATGATCCCGAAGCAGAGGGAGCAATCGTCATGAGAGCAACAAACCTAGAGCATGCTCGGAAGTTCAACAAGAAGTACTCTTTGATGTCACGCTTCTACTGCAAGAAATCTGAGGCATCTTTGCAGGAACTTGCCCACTGTAGCAGTCGTCCTAGATCCTATCATTGCAAGATATCTTCGTCCACATCAGATCGAAGGTATTCATACTATCTGAACATGTTATTTCTATGATGGTGCAATATGCTGCAGGCGTCAAATTTCTGTATGAATGTGTCATGGGCCTGCGAAGACACGAGGGTCAAGGGTGTATACTCGCCGACGAGATGTACGTGTTCAATCTGTGCGCTTGCCTGCAATCGCTGATATTCAGGTTCCAGGGGTCTGGGGAAAACTCTGCAGGTTTGTTTGTTCGCCCAGCATAGTCCCGCATCGGTGACACCTTTTACAGACAATCTCTCTTGTGTGGACACTTCTCAGTGAGTTCGCTGTTTCTTATGTGTTACGATCGTCAAGCTGGCCACAGAGCAGAATCCCTACATTGGCGCTGGGCCAGCAATCGGCAAGGCCTTGATTGTATGCCCTGTATCACTGGTCAACGTTTGTGCCTATTCTTCAGTCATCCTCGCTGTATTCTAATTTGTGAGCAGAATTGGCGCGCCGAATTTCACAAGTGGTAGGACAGAATCGTGCTTATGCGAGATTTATTTGAACTTCCACTTTAAGGTTGGGGAGAGATCGTGTTGGTATTCTCACAGGCGACAAGGACAAGTCCACTATCAAGCAATTTGTTAATTCGTATGTTTTGGTATTAATTGTTTGGGCTCTCCGCTAATTGGAATATCAGACGGTTGCATCAGGTTTTAGTCATTGGCTATGAAAAACTCAGGACTGTCATGTAAGTGGCACATTTTTACACTGTTGTGCATTTATTTACGCTAGTCAGAGATGATTTAGCATATTGCAAGTGAGTATTCTTTCTGCTGCAGTGAATGCCAATCTCATGCTTCACATAGTCCTCCGATTGGCCTAGTTATTTGTGACGAAGGTCAGTTGATGTTGGTAGATTATACATGCCATTGACTCCTCGGAAGGACACAGACTGAAGTCGTCAAACAATAAGACTTCGACAATGTTCAAATCATTACGTACCGTTCGAAGAATCATCCTGTCTGGCACTCCTATTCAGAATGATTTGAGTGAATTTCATGCCATGGTGCGCATGAAGCACCTATTTTTATCACCTTCCTAGTGCTAACTTATCAAAGGCGAACTTTTGTAACCCAGGGCTACTCGGTGAGCTGCAGAGTCTTACTTCACAAGGGATGACCAAATAAAGGCATATTTGCAGACGATTATGCTACATTCCGTAGAGTTTACGAGGTTCCTATCCTCAAAAGCAGAGCACCAGATTGCACGGCTAAGGAACTTGAGCTTGGCGAGGCTCGGTCAGCTCAGGTTTGTAGAATAATTGTGTTTCGTTCAGCTGCTGAATGGCATCAAAAGTTGTCTTTGATCGCGAAAAGCTTCGTATTGCGACGAGAAGCCAGCATTCTCAAGAATTATCTTCCACCAAAACGTATCCTATTTCTCTACCTGCAGTCCAGATATCTGACGTTCTGAACAGACGAATATGTGGTGTTTATCACTCCGACGCAACTGCAATTGTCCATATTCTCAGCTATTCTTAACCCCGACAAGCTAGATAGGCTAATTGATGGACCGACTGCAGAGTCACTTGCTTTAATCAACATACTCACAAAAGTCAGCAATAGTCCCGTGTTGCTCAAGACTCAAACAGATAAGGCAAGAGCGACAAACACCGATGCAATTCGCCGCCCAGGTGTCGATGACGCCTTAAGTTTATTACCTAAAGATGTCCGAGTCGAAGACGTCTCCATGAGCGGTGAGTCCCATTCTCTTTGATAATGTTTCTTGGCTGATTCATGTTCATACTAGGCAAGCTTCTGGCGTTGTCTCACCTCCTCAAAGCTATCAAAGAGGTAAGTCTGCTTGACTAATTGTTGGCTTTATTTGACCACTATGTAGCGCACGCAAGAAAAGTGCATCATTGTCTCACATTACACATCCACCCTCAATTTGATCGAAGCCTTCTGCAAGAAGAAATCTTATACTTACTTCCGGCTTGATGGGTACAGTTTTCATTCCACATTGTAGTATTTTTGATTGTCTCACATCATACTGCTGTAGTCAGACACCAGCAGCGAAAAGGCAGGAATATGTCAACACCTTTAATAAATCATCACAATACAGCCATTGTAGGTTACTCAGTTCGCACTTATGAGTGTCAATCTGATCTTGTTGAGGACAGTTCTATTCCTGCTGAGTTCAAAGGCGGGCGGCGTTGGGCTCAACCTTATCGGCGCGTCAAGATTATGTTTGATAGATTCTGATTGGAACCCGAGGTGTGTGGCATATGTAAAGATACGATGGCGCTAAATGAGATTTTCCATTCAAGTCATGACCTTCAGTCCATGGCGCGCATTCATCGGTGAATAAGAAAATCATCAAAAACATCTTGCGCTTACTATATATCATAGCGACGGGCAGAAGCGGCCAGTTTTCATCTATCGATTTCTTACTGCAGGAACAATCGATGGTGAGTGTTTTTGCTGACAAGATGTACAATGCGTTTATATCGCCTCTGGGAAGAGAAAATCTATCAGAGGCAGGTGACCAAGATTGGACTTAGCAACTGTGAGTGAATTTTTTGTTCTGTCAGATTCCGGCGCTCAATTACATGCACCAAGCTCTTATGGGCTCGGTAAGCCAATATTTTCTTCTTTTTTCCGTGACGGGGTTTATATCATCACATTCAAGGGATCATCCGGCTCAAAGTCAGACTCATTTTCACGGAAAGACGTACTTTTTTTCTGCTTAGGAGGTGACCGGTAATTAATACACCCATTTACAGCTTCGGGATATTTTCCGGGTCCATCCTGAGACAGGCTGCAACACTCATGACCTTTTGGATTGCGGATGTGATGCCGGTTCGAAGCAGTTCAGTGACAACACGACGAGCACTTCCAGGAGCGATATAGAAGTGGGTGAAGATGATGACGACGAAGATTCAGCAGGAACCGGCTTCGTCAATGCGTCACAAGTCAAACCCCGTCACATTGAGAAGATGGATGGAGCAGTAAGGATTTCAATTCCATTGTTCAGCGTCCACAGAATTGTGCTAATCGCGATTATGTAGTACATGAAGAAGAAACAGGCAGAGCTTGCATCACTTGGAGAGTGGACACACATCAATTGCCTGCGGAGATTGACGAGCGACAATATCCATGATGCCATTCTTCGCCATCTGGTACTTCCAAGTGTGAGCGATGACAACGACCCCCTCGCGCAGCCTAAATCAAGGCTTGATTCAC